TGATTTGGACGACTGACCCTCAGTTTCTTCATCTGCGACATGGGGCAAATGATACCTGTGGTTATTGTGAGCATTAGTTGTATTTAGTTATCTATAGTTATTGTGAGCATTCAAGTGGGATGAGAATGTGTAGAAGTCATCACAGTGTCTAGACCAAGGATCCTCTCAAATAAATTGTGGCTGTTTTCAGCGTTAGACTTTAGGCATAGAATTCATAATGCACTTAGGCATACAGTTCTGGTGTTTTCCCAAAGAGGCATTTTGGAATACTGTTACATAATGAGAAAGTAATTCAGTTTTTCACTTATATTTCATTCATCTGCTTGTATCAAGGGTAAGATTACTTGATGCCCTTTACTGTTGCTAATTTTCTCTTTTTAATGAAAAGAAGAGGCTCAAGTTCAGAACCTTTGGCAGGCAGTGGTATCTAGCCAGGTTTTAAATAATGTCAATTGGCTTTATCATTTTTAATTATAAGATTATCTGAATGGGAAGTGATGCTGTTTTTCCATTAAAGTAGTGACAAGAGTTCTTTTAAAAATAAATTTTAAATGGGAGTAGATGTTTAAAGGAAAATGTCAAACATTAACAATAGAGCCAGTTGTGTACAACTGGGAAGGTTATTTATTGCACAAGTGTCCTACCCCGGGGGAGAAGAGGTGTTGGCCAACTAGGCTAGTGTGTAGCCTATGAGCTGCTTACTAAGCCATGTGCTTTGGCACAGGGCTGTACCTAAGGGAAAGATGGGGTGCCTTTTTGTAATTCTCACGAAAGCACCATGTGGGCTAGCAGAAAGTGACAGTACATTGGTGTGTAGAGTGGCAAAAATAGTGAGGGTAACATGTAAATGGAAATCCTGTAAGACAAGTATTCATTTTCTCCACTGTTCAAAACTGAGGTGGAGGCTCAGCGAGGTGAAATAACGTGGCTAAAACTCTGATTCCTTTTCTGTGTCCATTTTTCATATTCCTGTCTCATACTTCAGTAAAAACCACACTGATATATGGTCAGGGGAGTAGACCAGGCGTATTGGAAGCCCCATTCACAACAGGAGCAGATCTTTATAGAATATATAAATAATGTCTAATAAAGGTTATACGTGGTCTGTGATCTTTCACAAAAATTAAATTCTGGCTGTTCTGTGTCTTCATTGCTGTGCACAGGCCCTCTCTAGTTGCGGTGAGTGGGGGCTCCCCTTTCGTTGTGCATGGGCTTCTGACTGTGGTGGCTTCCCTGGTTGCAGCGCATGGGCCCTGGAGCGTGCGGGCTGCGGTGTTCGTGGCACACAGGCTCCGTAGCTGCTTCTTATGGGCTCTAGAGCACAGGCTCGGTCGTTGTGGCGCTTGGGCTTAGTTGCCCTGTGGCATGTGGAATCCTCCTGGCTGCTGCTGCTGCTAAGTCGCTTCAGTCGTGTCCGACTCTGTGCAACCCCATAGACGGCTGCCCACCAGGCTCCCCCGTCCCCGGGATTCTCCAGGCAAGAACCCTGGAGTGGGTTGCCATTTCCTTCTCCAATGCATGAAAGTGAAAAGTGAAAGTGAAGTCGCTCAGTTGTGTCCGACTCCTAGCGACCCCATGGACTGCAGCCCACCAGGCTCCTCCATCCATGGGATTTTCCAGGCAAGAGTCCTGGAGTGGGTTGCCATTGCCTTCTCCAGGAATCCCCCTGGACCGGATATCAAATCCACTTCCTCTGCAGGTGGATTCCTAACCAGTGGACCACCAGGGAAGTCCATGATCTATGATCAAATGGAGAAAATTTAGTTGGCAGATATAAAAGAGGATGAAGGTAGAAAGACATACCATGCTCATGAAGAATGATTCATTGTTATAAATATGTTGACTCTCCAGTCTATAAATTTAATGGTGACAATGAAATTCCCAATAGAAATCTCATGGAATTGATAGACTGACTCTAGTTCATGTGATATTGTAGAGAATTAGGTATAACCGAACAACTTTGGAGAGCAGGGGGAGAAGTCTTCCTCTATGAGATGCCAAGGCTTATGATGAAGCCATAATTATGTAAATTTATGTGGTCTGATCTCCTCCTAAAGTAATCACTTCTAGCTACATGTGGCTATTAAGTATCTGAAATGAGGCTACTATGAATTGAGCAGAATACACATCAGATTTTGAAGACTAGGGAGAAGTAAACAGAATGTAAAATATGTCAGTAATTTTAAAGCATTGTTCACATGTTGGAAATATATTGTGCCTATATTAAATAAGATAATTAAAATTAATTTCAGCTTTAAAAATATGACTACTAGAAAATTTTAAATAATATATGTAATTATGTGTAATGTAAATACAGTTACACTTCTCACATAAATCTGTTGGATGGCACTGGTCAAGACCGTTGAAACAGTAGGGCCCGGAAATAGGCCAAACATACGTGGAGAGTTGGAATTTGACAAAGGTAGCATTACCAGCTGGTGTGAAGGGGATACAGTATATAAAAGACGATGATGGAACAGTTGGCTTATGCTATGGACTGAATGTTTGTCTTCCCCCGTCCCCCCGCGCCCCCAGCCAGCCCAAAGTTGTATGTTGAATCCCTAATCCTAAATCTGATGGTATTTGGAGATGGGGCTTTGAGATCTAATTGGGTGGGGTTAGGTTAGGCCATGAAGGTGGGGCCCTCATGATGGGATTAGTGGCCTTATAAAAGGCAGAAGTGACAGGAGAACTCTTTCTCTACTATGTGGGATTACAGTGAGAAGGTGACCAACCCATACAGTCCAAGACGTGGACCCTCACCAAGAACTCTACTATAGTAGCACCTTGATTTTTGACCCCCAGCCTCCAGAACTGTGAGGAATAAAATGTTTGTTGTTTAAGCCTCCTCGGTCTATTGTATTTTGTTATAAGACCCTGACCAAACTAAGATTACCTTCAGAAAAAAATTAGATGCCCAGTTTATAGCATATATAAAAATAAAGATGAATTGAATTCCAAAAAATGAAAAACTTTAAGAGTCTTGGAAATTACAGGGACTATTTTTGTGGCCTTGGTGTTGGACAGGATGTGGTTTCAGGTAGCCTTTGCTGCATAACCAGCCAGCCCCCAGATTCGTGACTTACAACTGCTAACGTTTATTGTTCCTTACAATTCTGTGGGCTGGCAAGGTGGTCTTCCGCTTGTCTCACCTGTGCTCACTAGTGTGGTTGCACTCAGCCAGTGGGCTGGCTTTGCTCACTGGACCCCTTCTCTCTCCCTCCATGGGCTTTCATCACATGGGCTTCTCTATTGCATGGTGATCACATGGTGCCAAATGAATGGAAGTGAAATCTGCAAGGTCTCTTGAGGCTGACACTCGGAATCACAGAACATCAATTCTGTCTGCTTGGTTGGTTAAAGCAAACCAGAGGGATGGCTCAAATTTGAGAGATGGGGAAATAGACTCCACCTTCTCATAGGAGGAATGGTGATGTTAGTTTACAAGGGGGCATGCCAAGATGATAGGATTTCCTTAGCTCCCAAGACCACTGACCAGTAAGGCAAAGATTGACAAGTTCAACTACATTAAAATCAAACACTTTTATTTCTGAAAACACTCATTTGGAAAAATGAAGAGACAAGTCACAGATCAGGAGAAGATATTTGCAACATCTTTTAGTGTCCAGATGTTGAGAGAGCTACCAATGGGAAAGAAAAGGGCCAACAACGTGTTAGAAAAGTGGCCAAAAAACATGGTAATTTATAGCATGTAAAGAAGTGATGTTCAACTTCATTAAAGAAATGAAAATTAGAAACAGCGAAATAGCTATTTTATACCCAGACTGGCATAAATGAGCTGGTCTGACAACTCCAAGAAGCACTGGCTAGGATGTGATAGGAAGGGGAGTGCTCATGGACTTTGCAGGGAGGTCGAAAGTGGTCCAATGTTTTCAGCATCTGGTGAAGGTGTAGGTGTATGCTGCAGTGCCTCTCCTAGTGACATTCCTAGATGTGTACTCCAGGAACACATAAGAATGTGAGAGTGTTGGTGTCAGCATTATTTGTAATACTGAAAATGTGGAACCAACTTAAGTATAGGGTATTAGATAAATTGTGTCATGTTCACTTCATACAGTACAGCAGAAATTAGTAACTTAATAGGAGCTGTGTGGATCAGCACTGATAGAACTTGAAAACATAAAGTTGATGGAAAAGATGGAAAAGAATATGCTCCAGATGACTTAGAGCGTGATACCATTTATGTAGATTTTGAAGCCCATAAAACAAGATTTTGTATTATTTATGAATATATGAGTTTAAAGGAGTAGAAATGTCGGCAAGAAGGATATAGAAACAGCTTTAAGATAGTGGTTGTCTCTGAACAAGGAGGAGAGGATGGGAGGGAGGGGGCAGATAGGGGAACCAGTCTACTCTGATATACTTTATTTCTGCAAAGGAAATCTGAGGCAAGTATGGCAATGTGGTAAGATTTGGTAATCCCGGGTGGTGGCGGTGGTTTAGTCGCTAAGTCGTGTCTGACTTATGACTCCATGGGCTGTAGCCCACCAGGCTCCTCTGTCCATGGGATTCTCCAGGCAAGAATACTGGAGTGGGTTGCCATTTCCTCCTCCAGGGGATCTTCCCAACCTAGGAATCAAACCCCAGTCTCCTGCATTGCAGGCAGATTCTTTACTGACTGAGCTATCTTGGGTGGTAGGTTAGGCATTATTACTCTACTTTTCTGTTATGTTTAAAATATTTCATTAAAAACATGCGTATCTTTACCATAATTTGGGTCATGTAGGATGTTCTAAAAATAGCTGTTGTTTTGCAATTATTTGGAGCGTAACAAGATTTTCTGAACATGATTTATATGTTTAACCAGTAAAAAAGTCATCTTGGAACTTGTGGCTTTTCTTTGATCTTTCCTGACAGTTTGTTAGATCTGTAGAGTAATGCATATCAGGGATGCTTTTTGGACATTGCCAGATCAGAACTGTTATGTGACACTCCAGTCTGAAGATGGTCATTTACGGTTGTTTCCTCTCTTGTCCCAGGAGACTCGCTCTGCCCCACCTGAAGTCCATATGGCTCTGTATGATGAGGACCTCCTGAAAAATCCCTTCTACCTGGCTCTTCAGAAGTGGCGTCCTGATTTGTGCAACAAGGTGGCCCAAGCCCATGGCATTGTAAGTGCATCGATCCCGATGGTGGTCCTTCTTTGCTGGGCGTGGGAGGCCTACCTACAAATATGGTAGACTTCAGTTAAATTTAGCAGGAGTCAGATATAGAACTGCTCAGTGCAGCCATCCCCAGACCATGCTCGGCAAGTGGACGAGCAGAGAGGAACCGCCCTGAGCAGCTTCCTCCAGACAGTCTCCTGAGACTGCTCCAGCCCGGGTGTAATCCTTTCTCTGAACTCTCAGCCCCCAGGATCACCAGTCTCATGGTAGTGATCGCTGTTTCTCCTGTTTCCATGTTGAGCAGGAGGGCTTCTCCAGGGCAGAAATCATATCTTTCCTTGTCTGTGAGATGGGTGCTCACTCCCAGAGTAGGGGAATGTGTGAATGTAGGGGTATGTCACCTTCAAAGGCATTTCCTAAAGAGGAGGAGCCGAGAGAACTTTCGCAGTAGAGACCACAGCCTCAGAAGCTTCCAGGGGCAGCCAGGTAACAGGAGCCAGAGAAGAGGGAAACCGTGGTCTGTTGGCGGGGTGTCTGCTGCCTGGAGGAAGGAAGGGCCCGCACTGCAGGCCTTTCTTCTTTCTGAGGTTGGTGACTTGGCTGACATCTTACTTACACACCATGGGATACAGAGGGTTAGCTGGGCACCTTTGTGCCGCCTGCCTATGGCAGGGCCTCTTCATTTTTTTTACAAAATAATTTGTATTTATTTATTTGTTTTTGGCTGCACTGGGTCTTTGTTGCTGTGAGGGCTTTGCTCTAGTTGCAGCGAGCGGGGGCTACTCTGGAGTTGCGATGCTGCAGCTTCCCATCGCCGGGGCTTCTTCTCTGTTCACAGCACCGGCTCTAGGGCATGCAGGCTTCGGTAGTTGCTGCGCGTGGGCCTCTTCCCTCCCTGCACTGTCCTCTTTTCTTCTGCTGCTTTTGTTCCTGCTTCTCTTACCCAGTGATGGGGTTTTAGGTGAGTCAGGTGGCCGAGGATTTGAACCAGAGGAGCAGTGAGTTAGCTTAGGTTTCTCTGCAACCTTAGAACTGACTTTCCCATGCTTAGCACCCCCCACTCTGCCATCAGAAGCCTGTTTTTGTTTTTTTCCCCAAGTCCCTTCTGGTTTTTATGATTGGTTTTGTGATTAATATCTCTTTCCCAGAATTTTTTTTTTTTACTTTGGATTTTAAAAATCATAAACTTCATTATTTAAAAAAAAAATTAAGAGAATACAGTTATTTCCAAAGAAGAAAATAAAAATCTCATTAAGCTCACCACAGGTGTCCACTGTCATCTGTTCATTTCACAGCAGCTCTTAAATGCTGCTCTGTATAAGGCACTAGGTTTGATGTGGGAGATTCAGCCAAAAATACGAGTAGGCAGCACGATCTTTACCCTCATGGATCTCTTCCCAAAATTCTAGTGGGAGAGACGGTCGTACTCTGGGTTAATATTTAACTAGTTATGGTGAAGTGTCACAGAGAAAAGGCCCAGACATCATGTTAACTGAGAGGGCCTGACCCTACTAGGGAAATATTTCCTTCCCATCTTTGTTCTATGGTGTTTTAGAAAGCAATACTGTCTAGGCAAGAGTGTGTTATCACAGGCAAGTTTCTCGTGTTAAAAGCGCCGTGCCGCAGACTGCTGTTAACCTCTCAGGAAGCCCTGGGGGACCTGTCTTGCTTGTCACTGAGTTGCCAGCACTTAGCACTCCCTGTCACCCAGGAGGTGCTTTTGCAGCTGCCAGCTCAAAATCCCACTCAAGCTCACTTTAGCAAAAGGGGAATTTGGAATAAGAACGTTAGTATCTCAGTCACCTTTCTCTCCGGTACATAGAGGAATAGGACATGCTTCTTCTTTTTTTTTTAAATTTTATTTTTTAGCCTGCAGGGTGTGCACGTGAGATCTTAGTTCCCTGGCCAAGGATCAAATTCTTGTCCCCTGCATTGGGAACGTGGAGTCTCAACCACTGGCCCACCAGGAAAGTCCCGGGAGATACTACTTAAGTTGCCATCCTGAGATCCCAAGGGTGCCCCAGGCTTCTTACTCTGGCTCCTGCTGAGATCCACAAGGGGCTGTGTGGGGCCCACATTCAGCAGACTCGAGAATCAGTGAGGCCAACTTCTCAGGAAAGGGCAACTGTGGGAAGGAGCCGGCTGTCACTGTCCTGTTCAGCCAGGCCAGGTGTTGATAACCAGCTCCTGCCACCTGTTGGCCGTGTGATGGAGCCCCGGCTCATCTAACCTGTCCTATTGCTCTTTCTGGGTCTGTAGGTTGAGTGTAAAAAGTAGAATATCCCAATGACCTCTAGAAGAGCACTCATCCTTCTGCCATCTCTGAGGGACCCACATGGCCTCCGCAGGTGAATGCTATATTTCCTTCCATGGGGCTTGGCCACTGGGCTGAGTTTGTCTTAAGTCACTTTAGTCGTGTCCAACTCTGTGGCCCTGTGGACTGTAGCCTGCCAGGCTCCTCTGTCCATGGGATTCTCCAGGCAAGAACACTGGAGTGGGTTGCTATGCCCTCCTCCAGGGCATCTTCCTGACCCAGGAATCGAACCCACATCCCTTAGGTCTCTTGCATTGGCAGGTGAGTTCTTTACCACTAGCATCCCACCTGGGAAGCCTGGACTGAGTTTGGTGGCCCCTGAATCTGCCCTGGGGATTAGGATCCTTCACTCAGCTCTAAAAATGTGAAGTCACCACTTTTTGTTTACTTTTTTATTTGGCTGCACTGGGTCTTCTGCACAGCATATGGGGTCTTAGTTCCCTGACCAGGGAACAAACCCACGTCCTCTGCACTGCAAGGTGGTCTCTTAACCACGGGCCACCAGGAAAGTCCTGACGTCACCACTTCTGAACATGTGTCTCCCCAGGGTTAAATGCCCTTCACCTCTTCCTCTGCAAATGGAGCTAGCAGGCCCCCTCACACGACAGCTGACGGTGCAGGCTGGCTGTTCCCCTCACCTGTCCCAGGCCCTCCTCGAGTTTGACTTCCTTCCCGAACCTTCCTTGATGGGGCTGCCCCGTGTCCAGGAAGGCACCCCCTGCCACCATTTGCTCTTTGGCTGGACAGTGGAAGCCCATCTCCTAAAGTTCCTTCTAATTCTGACTCCAGAGACCTGTGACGCCCACACACTGTCTCTCACAGTCACCTTGTCCTTGTGACCATCCAGTTATTATGCAATGAGTTTTCTTCAGAGCAGGTGCGTAGGCCTCCTGCACCCTGGGGCTCTTGTTCTTGGGGCATTGGGCAAAAGTTCTCCAGATTTCCCTGGTGGACCGGGGGTGGGTGGGTCCATTTACCTGTAGGGAAAACAACAGTGGCAAAAGGAGATGACATTTAGTCCTTTTATCATGGCCCTGTAATTATGGGTCTAATTATGGGGTATGCAGGCTTCTGAGGGCTCACCTGGGAACCTAGCATCGTGACTTCTAAGTTCCAGGGAACTGACTTTCAAGAACATGCTTGTACAGCCCAGCTAAGGGCGCTGAAGTTCATATTCCAGTCCTCGGAATTTGCTTAGTAGAGCTTCATCTGACAAACACCGAATATCTCCTCTACTCCGGGCACCACACTGGGTTTGCAGGGTTACACGGAGGGATGGGGGACACGACATACCTTCAGGGACTTCGATGAACAGGTCATTTGTAGGCCAGAGGGTTGAGTATTAGGACAGAAGTGGTCATGTGCTCCTGTGGAGTAGCCGACCCAGGCAGGGGGAAGTCAGGAGGGTACCCTGGAGTAGGTATGACTAATGGTAATTCTTGTTTTTATGCTTTTTTTTTCTTTAATGACTATTATTTTTTTTAAATTCTTTATAAAGGGGTTATAATAAAAAGTTTTATCATTAAGCTCTGAACTGAGTCCCTAGCTCATGGGCTTCTCAGCAACTCTGAACTTGGCATCTCCCACACCGACTGCTACGGCTCCACAGCCTCTGTTCCAGAAATAGTCTGATCCTTCCTCCTGTGAGGGCACTTGGCACCTGAGCCTGCCTCCCGTGGGCGGCTTCAGAGCCACCCACCGCTGATCCCATTCACCCCTGTCTCAGCAGGAACCTGGTGGATAGATGGAGCCACAGAGAGCCAGCCACTGGCTTCTGCTTGCCTTGAAATGCACCAGGCAGCCTTGACTGCCTGAAAACTTTGGGAGAGTCCTTGAAATTGGAGGCTTCCCTGTTCACTCAGCAAGCACTGATTGCTATCTTCTGTATGGTGAGCCGTGGGCTTGGTAATGCGGATTCAGTGCCTCGGGAGCTGGTCACAATTATTTAAGGAGGTGGAGAAGGTGTGTGTACACAGTGGGGATACACACAGGATGCAGTCATAGTGGTGGTGGGGTGAGCGGTGTGTATCTCTGAAGGACCTCAGAAGTTCCTGACCCCTCGGAGGCCCCGCCTCATATGAGACTGTGTAACCCCTGCATTCGCTGAGCTGGAGTAGGGCAATCCCTTGGCCTGCCGTTGGCCACCTAAATCCCTCAGGCCTGGGTCATGCTGTCCTCTTGCCTGGGGCCAACCCTCTCATCTCCAAGATCTTCTTTTTGTGTTCCAGGTTGCAGTGAGGACATCTTAGGAGCCTTGAGGCTGTTTCTTGATTCTGGCTTAAACCTGAAGGCCTCTTGTTTTTTTAAACCGCACTTTTATTAACATTCAAACATTATTATGATTTTCTTACCTTTTTTTCTCTTCTCATCTGGTACCACTAAGCCCACCTCAGGACCTTTGCACATGCTTTCTTCTGACAAAAGCGTTCTTCCTGGGACTTCCCTGGTGGTGCAGTGGTGAAGACTCTGAGCTTTCACTGCAGGGGGCATGGGTTTGATCCCTGGTCTGGGAACTAGGATCCTGCATGCTGTATAGTGTGCCCCCCCCCCCCCCAAAAGAAGTTTTTCCCTTAAATCTTTACTTGGTGGGTCCTTCTCTCCATCCATTCCTTGCTCAAATGAGGCTTTCTTAGAGAGCCCCCCCCCCCCACCTTAACAACTTGACCTGAGTTAGCTAACCTTTGCTCCACTCCAGGCATTCTCTGGCTTGATGCCCTACTTTATTATCTGCATAAAACTTACTGATTTATGGAATCTGTTATATTGTTAAAAAAATCTGTATACCCCACTTAGAATGTAATGCCCATGAGGACAATTCACCATATCTCCAACAGTGCCCAATGTCATGAATATTGAATGGAGAAAAGAACAGGAAAACCAAACTCAAATTTTAATACTTACTCGAATAAAGTTGGCTACCCGAAAATTTTTTTAAAAGTTATCGTGTTTAACCTCAAACACGAACAAGTGAAAAGAATCATACCGTGTGCCCCTGCCCCCATCACTCAGCTTCCACAGCGCCGGGCTCAGATGCCAGCACTTATCACTTCGACCCCCGCTGCCCTCTCCCCTCGGCCAGGGGATCACTTGGAAACAAATTCCAGAAAATTATATAAGGTAGTCATACTGGCACCCCACTCCAGTAGTCTTGCCTGGAAAATCCCATGGATGGAGGAGCCTGGTGGGCTACAGTCCACGGGGTCACTAAGAGTCGGACATGACCGAGCGACTTCACTTTCACTTTTCACTTTTATGCATTGGAGAAGGAAATGGCAACCCAGTCCAGTGTTCTTGCCTGGAGAATCCCAGGGATGGGGGAGCATGTTGGGCTGCCGTCTATGGGGTTGCACAGAGTCGGACACAACTGAAGCGACTTAGCAGCAGCAGCAGTCATATGATTTCATCTTTAGGAATGTAGTTTTCAATGATAAGGACTTAAAAAAAAACCACAACCTCATGCCATTATCATAGCTCAAAAATTCCTCAGTGACTCTTTGGTGATGTTGTTCACTATGCAAATCTCCCACCTCATCTCATAATTTTTTGTTTGTTTTCCAGTTGGTTTGTTTAAATCAGAATCCAGAGGAGATCCACACATTATTGATTTTGTGATTAATATCCACACATTATTCTGGATTTGATAGGCCTTTGTTTTTTTCAGTTGAAGTTATGGTTCAGTTCAGTTCAGTTCAGTCATTCAGTTGTGTCCGACTCTTTGCAACCCCATGAACCGCAGCACACCAGGCCTCCCTGTCCATCACCAACTCCTGGAGTCCACCCAAACCCATGTCTATTGAGTCGGTGATGCCATCCAGCCATCTCATCCTCAGTCGTCCCCTTCTCCTCCTGCCCTTACAGTTATTTACAATATTGTGTTAGTTTCAGGTGTATAGCAGTGTTGCAGTGATTCAGTTCTTTTTCAAATTCTTTCTCATTACAGGTTATTACAAGGTATTGAAGATAGTTCCTTGGGCTGTACAGTAAATCTTTGTTGCTGGGTATGCCTTTTAAGTCATCCTTTTTTCTCTTAATGTTACTGAGCTAAACTTTCAGAGCAGTTAAACTGTACCTACTTAGTGTGAAAGTTGATCCATAGTGACACATCTCATCACCTCAGTCTTAAGTGCCTTATTATTGTGTTTTTAATTTTAAAAAATTCAATTAATAATTATTATTACTTTTTAAGCTGCACTGGGATTTTGTTGCAGTACACACGCTTTCCCTAGGTGCAGTTCACGGGTGGAGCAGGGGCTCTAGAGCATGCAAGCTAATTAGTTGTGTCACAAGGACTTAGTTGGCCCATGGCATGTGGGATCTTAGTTCCCTGACCAGGGATTGAACCCACGTCCCCTGCATCGGCAAGGCAGATTCTTAACCATTAGACCACCAGAGAAGTCCCTTAAGTTTCATTTTAGCTATATCCCTTTGTTTCCTCATTTTCCTTCTTTCCTTGAAATTCATGTATCCAGGTCATTTATCCTGTAGGCTTTCCTACCTTCTGGCTTTTGCCAGTTGCAGTCCTGTGTTGGTGTTCACCAAAGTCCCCTGGTCTCTGTATTTCCTGAACTTGGTAGCTAAGTCTAGCTCTGGGTCTGATTCAGTCTTGCTGTTTGTGGAGGGGCAAGGCCACTTCATACACAGCGGTGATCTTTCATCAACGAGGGCCTCCGTTTCCTGCTCTGAGGACTTGGTATGTCCCTGTCCCCTGTGGGGAGAGAGGCCATGCTGCTCTTTCTGACCTATCTAGCGAAGCTCCTGATGACAGCTGCTCTCAAAGGCCCAGAGTTTCATGGTGTCTTTGCAGGGAACTCCAGCAGGGCCTGGGCTGTGTTCCCATCACTGGCCTCCAGGAGGTCTCAGGACAGGGCAGTGATGGGTGTGGGTGGTAGGAGTTTAAGGCACGGCTCTGCCACTCTCTGTGTACCCCCGGACAAGTTGCTAAACTCCCTTGAGCCTTAGTTTCCTTGTCTGTACAATGGGGACAGTGCAGAAGCCCCTAGCCTTATTCCAGCTGCTTCAGGAGTTGGGGCCCTGATCAGGGGCCCGGCTGGTCGACCACCTTGGTCGTCTTCTTCCAGTTGCATTTGAGGGCCTCCTCTTAAATGTGAGTCTCCGGGCCAAGCACAGATCCATGTGGATGCCAGGGCACCTTCCTTTGCTGTGCTGAGCAGAGAGGCTGGTATCAGGTCAATGTGGTGGCCACGGTGGGACCAAAATTCACGTTTCAGGTTGAACCTTCTCCAAAGACAGAGCCTGGCGCCCGAAATATCCCTGGTGGAGATGGCAGCCTGAGCTAGGAAACTCTATTTCTGTGGCTGGTACAACCAGCTGTGATCACAATTGGGCTTAAAAAAAGCATAGAAAAAAGATGGGAAGGAAACTGTCTTCAATGTGCCATGTTTATCATGAAGGTGGTGGGATTATGTGTCATCTTTTAGTTTCACTTTTCTGTACCCTTCAAACCTTTCTTCACTTGGAATTGTTTCTGAGCCTGCTGAGGACAAAGCGGGCACCTGAGGTAGCTGTGGGGAGGGGCCCAGTGGGGTGGGACTGAAGCCCCCCCTACCTCCTTCTCCCCACCCCTGAGATCCTGGATGGATGAGACATGTCCCACTCCCTCGCCAGGGTGGGGGCCTTGGCTTCCATCACAGCGACAAGAGATTAGCTGCTGCCACTTCGACTAATAACCCCAGGGGTTGTCTGTCTGCAGGTCCCCACAGCAGTTCCAGCTGGAGCGTCTTCAGATGCATCCTGTTCCGCTGAAGTTGTAAACAACACATCTCTTTAGTATTCACTTTAATTTTTTTTTCCAGGTGTTAGTACCCTGCAAAGGAAGCCTGTCAACCAGAATTCAGTCTACTTGTCAATTTGAGTCCTATGTTTTGATTCCAGTGGAAGAACACTTTCAGACCTTAGATGGAAAGGTATTCTTTCATTTCCTATGGGTCACCCAGGACCACTCACTCGGTGTCTGCGAGTTGGGGAGGGGAGGGAGTCCTGCTGCTCACCCTTTCTTGTCTGTGTTACCTGGGGGCTTTGACACCACAACGGACCTGCTGCCTTTGAGTGAGGAGGAGCTGGCCGTGGAGAGCAGGGTCCTGGCTGTGGCCTGGAGTTGGAGGTGGTGCTGGTCACATCTCCCTTAGCCCATGGGGCTTCTGCCAGGGAACTGGGGAGTCACAGGGACACCTCCTCAGAGAGGCCCTGTCAGAGCGAGCTGTTTATCCTTGTGCCCTTGGGATCAGAGATGAATTTCTAATTTTTTAAGAAACCTGTAGAATGAGATGGTCAGATGGCATCACTGACCCAATGGACATGAGTTTGAGCAAACTCCAGGAGATAGTGAAGGACAGGGAAGCCTGGCGTGCTGCAGTTCATGGGGTCACAGAGTCGGACACTACTTAATGACTGAACACGATGACATAGGAAGTTTTAACCTATAGAAAGTTCCAGTAATGTACAGAGAACATTCACATAGCTTTCTCTCCAGACTGGTCAGCTGTTTGCATTTTGGCCACATCTGTTTCATCTCCCCACCCCCATCTGTCTATCTTTCTATCTGTTAACACACACACATATTGTTACTTTTTTCGGAACCCTTTTCAGAAAGAGTAAGCTGCAGACACCTTGCCCCTTGACTTCAAAACCATGTATATCTCTTATGTAATGCATCACAGTGGTCATATTCAGAAAATTTCACCTTGGCAGAATACTCTTCTCCAACATCCTGTCCTTAAATAAACTGTGCTAATTGTAATACCCTTTTAGAGCAAAGAAGGTCTTTTTTTAAGATCCGGGATCATGTCTGGGATCATGCACCATGTTCCGTCTCTGTCTTTTTAGTTTCTCTCTTTTGGAACGGTTCCCGGCCTGTGTCTTTAATGTCACTGACATTTTTGCCTTCCTTTGTAAACCCTCCCTCAGTGTGGGTCTGTCTGATGTTTGCCTTGGTCAGATCACAGTTAAGCGTTTTCAGTTAGAATGCCCACTGAAGGGCATCTTATCTCAGTGCTTTGTGTCAGGAGGTATGTGACGCCTTTCTCGTGGTTGATGTTAACTTTGGGGTAGGCTTTTTCTTGTTGTTGTTTTTTTTTTAAGTGGAAGCAGATAGTCTCTGAGAGGGGTGAGTTCCGTCCCTGGTCAGGAATGGCTGTGGCCCCCAGCCTACCCACGGTCAGCAGCGGGGGCCCACACTGGTGTAGCCGGGGCTTGTGGGTGCCTGAGGTGGGGTGGGACCGGAGGTGGGTACGGTATGCCAGCCTGGGAGAGGGGAGTCTGCAGTCCGGTGGCCCCTGAGCAGGCTGCTGTTTTCCTGCGGGGTTCTGCTCACCACAGCTGTGCGTCAGTTTACCTGTTCACTTCCCGGTACCCAAATCTCCCAGGAGAACGGAGGCACCAGGCTCATCATGGCCAGTCTTCCCCGGGTACCCCAGGCCACGGCCAGAGTGTACCCAAATCTCCCAGGAGAACAGAGGCACCAGGCTCATCGTGGCCAGTTTTCCCCAGGCACCCCAGGCCACGGCCAGAGTGATGAACCATGGAGGAGTGCAGTGAGCATCCTCCAACCCCTCTGGGTTACAGCATTGGGGTCATTCTGATCTCTTATTCAGCGAGGAGAACCTTCTTTTTCTTTTTCCAGAGAATACAGGCTTTCTTCTTCTCTAAGGAACAGCTTAACGCTTTTCTGTTGTGACGTGTGAAATTGGTCAGGGTATCATGTAGCCACCATAAGAGGGTGCACAAGGAGGGAAGAAAACATTTTAGTCCCAAAAGCAAGATCAAAGTATTGGTGCCCTCCTGAAAACCACACTGGGGAAGAGGCGGGTGGGCGGGTGGGGTGAAGCGCCTGATGGTGGCCAGGCTGAGAGGGGTCGGTGGTCACAGCGGCTGCTGGTGCAGTGACCTATCTCTTGTTCTAGGATGTCTTTATCCAAGGAAACAGGATTAAACTAGGAGCTGGTTTCGCCTGTCTTCTCTCAGTGCCCATTCTTTTTGAAGAAACTTTCTACAATGAGAAAGAAGAAAGTTTCAGCATACTGTGCATAGCCCATCCTTTGGAAAAGAGAGAGAGTTCAGGTATTCTGGGAGAAAACCCCTTTCTCCTGACTGGGAGAAACCTGCTTGTTGAACTTCCTCCTGACACAGCAGTTATGAACATCTCATAAAATATTCAGGAGCCCACTAGAAACCTGCATAACTGCTTACAGTAATTCCCCCTGGAACGTAGATCGGAAAGTCATCTTGAGCCAACGTGACGTGGGTGAGGCCACATCACGTGCGGCTACACGTGACCTCAGTGGGAATGTCACCCCCTGGAGTCGTGCAAAACGGCAGCCCTGGCTTTGTCTCTAGGCCTTAGCTTTAGGACTGTCTTTTATGGCATTATTAGTCACAGAGCCCCACTGCCATACTTCTCTGAGATCTTATTATTTTCAACAGATAACAATTCTTTGGTGCTCCAGGAAAATTGAGATAATGATGTACCAAATGCTGTCCGAGGTCTTATTGTCAGGAATCACGGCTTCATCACTAGAGCCTCCCAGGCCATGCCTGTGATCCCAGAGAGTTCAGGTTTTGTCCCAGGGAAGGGCTTCAAGAGGACCAGGCTCCCTGGACCCCTACCTGGGCCGCTGTTGGGTGATATCTTGAAATAAGCGTATCCCTCTCCTCCTGTGGGAGAGGGTGACCCAGATCCTGGTAGAGCAGGGCAAAGGATTGTGGGACTTCTTTTCTTCAGGAAACCGTGATGGCTTCAGCCAGCCTGACCCTCTTGTCTCTTTTTTTCAGAGGAGCCTTCGACATCCTCAGATTCTTTTTCCCTGAAAACCATCGAGGATGTGAGAGAGTTTTTGGGGAGACACACGGAGAGATTTGACAGGAACATCGCCTCTTTCCAGCGAACGTTCAGAGAGTGTGAAAGAAAGAGCCTCCGTCATCACATAGTCAGTAGCTGATTCCTGCTTTACTATGGGCGCGCCCTGGCCCAGAGCGCCAGGGTCACTCTGCCACTTTGCTGCCGCCTCTGTAGGCAGTGTTTACATATCTGAAGCGAACGTTGAACGGCCAACAAAACGTTGGATTCTGTTTAAATGTTTCTTGTTACCTAAGAAAAGTAATAAGCATGGTAGAAAACCTGAAAAATCACAGAGAAGTATAATGATGAATATTGTTATCATGTGTGTTAACCCTAGGGGGAATTTTTTTTCCTACTCTTAATGCGTAGACACCCAGAAAAAAAAATGGAAAAAAAAAATCACATACTTAATTTGAAAAAAAAAATGACATACTTAATTTGAAAAAAAAACCACATGCTTAATTTGATAAGCTTGCATTAGGACTTAGGGCTTTTTGCGCAGGAACTCCGTTCTGTGAGATGCTCTCGTGGCCCCGTCCTGGGTTGTGCTGCGGCCTCTGATCCCGAGGGTGGCCTCTCTGCTCTCTGCCCCGCAGGACTCCGTGAACGCTCTCTACACCAGATGCCTCCAGCAGCTTCTGAGGGACTCCCACCTGGTAAGCAGCTTGGCCTGCAAAAGAGAGGCTGCCAGAAAGAGAAAGACAGATACCATACGACGTCACGTATACATGGAGTCTGAAACAGGATGCGAATGAACTTATCTACGAATCAGACACAGACTCACAGACACAGAGAACAGACCTGTGGTTGCCAGGGAGGAGAGGGGTGGGGAGGAGGTGGAGCGGGCGGCTGGGGCGGAGATGGAGCAGGAAGTTGGGAGAGGGATGGAGGGGGAGGTTGGGGCGGAGATGGAGGGGGAGGTTGGGGCGGAGATGGAGGGGGAGGTTGGGAGAGGGATGGAGGGGGAGGTTGGGGCGGAGATGGAGGGGGAGGTTGGGGCGGAGATGGAGGGGGAGGTTGGGAGAGGGATGGAGGGGTAGGTTGGGGTTAGCAGTTGTAAGCTACTACATATAGAAAGGATAAACAACATAGTCCTACTGTATAGCACAAAGAACTACATTCCATATCCTATGACAGGGATTTCCCTGGTGGCCCAGTGGCTAAGAATCTATGCTTCCAATGCAGGTTTAATCCCTGATCAGGGAACTAGATCCCAGATGCTGCAACTAAGAGTTCACATGCCACAGTTAAAGATCCCAAGTGCCTCAACTAAGACCCTGTGCAGCCAAATAAATAAATACATATTTAAAAAAAAAATCCTTTGATGAACCATAATGAAAAAGAATATCATGGAAAAGACTGGGTATCTAATGGAAAAGACTATAGAAAAGAAAAAGAATATAGAAAAAGAAGATCTTTTCATAATGGAAAAGAATATAGAAAAAAGAATGTGTGTGTATATATATGTATGTATGTATATGTATAACTGAATCACTTTGCTGTCCAGCAGAAATTAACACAATACTGTAAATCAACTACACTTCAAATAAGAAAACAAAACCAAAAGCCAGAGACTCGTGGTTTGGCCCAGGCCAGTCCACGCTCTGTGACTGTCCTCTCCTTGTCCTCCAGAAAGTGCTCGCCAAGCAGGAGGCCCAGATGAACCTGATGAAGCAGGCGGTAGAGGTAAGTGGCCCGGGAAGTGAGGGGAGAGGCGGTCCAGTGCCGGGGCCTCCTTTGCTGCCTGCTCTCCCACACACACGCACATCTTGAACCTGTTGACTTCACAGATGTACGTCCAGCATGATATTTACGACCTGATCTTCAAGTACGTGGGGACCATGGAGGCAGCAGAGGTAGGCTTTCCGTCATCACCATGCAGGATGGAAGCCCTGTTTTCCAAGCCTTTTCAGACATGTGAAGCTTCATTAAAATCTCTTGTTAGAAGTGCTCGGACCTGGTGCACTGGGAAGACCCAGAGGGATCAGGTGGAGAGGGAGGGGGGAGGGGGGATCGGGATGGGGAATACATGTATATCCATGGCTGATTCATATCAATGTATGACAAAAACCACTACAATATTGTAAAGTAATTAGCCTCCAACTAATAAAAAAAAAAATCTCTTGTTAGGATGCTGCCTTTAACAAAATCACGAGGAGCCTTCAAGATCTTCAGCAGAAGGATATCGGTGTGAAACCTGAGTTCAGGTAGGGTTTATACTGCAGTGTTGGTGTCCTCGGGGGCTGGGCCACTGTGTCCCCTGGAAGCGGGACCCTCAGTAGCAGTGTTGGCACTGGTTGACATGGTTCAGACTGTGGAGCAGAGTGGTTATTTGTGACCAAAGATAAAGGTTTAAAGTTGGCAGATGAGTGTTTCAGAGCCATCACGTTCCTGCACCCAACTGCCAGTGTGCCGGTGGGTGGGAGCCGGAGGAGGTGGGGTCATGCACAGCTGGTCTCTGGCTGGGAAAGCAGCTCACCCAGGTGGGCCTTGCACAGTGACATCTCTCATCACCTGCTGGTCTGAGGGGCCCCTGCCTTAGGGACACCTCCTTTCGGTTTTGTTTCTTTCTTTTTTTGGTTGCAGCTTGAGGCTTGCAGGATCCCAGTTCCCTGATCAGGGATCGTACCCTCACCCCACCCTGCAGTGGAAGCATGGAGTCCCATGCCCTGGACTGCCAAAAAATTCTCTGGAGTACCTCCTTTTGAGTTGTTTCATCAGGATACCAAAATGTCTAATATCTTTGTCTAATTTTTTTCCCCCTTTGGCCTATTTCACTCTGAAGCTAAGGATTTTTGATTTTTTTCCCCCCTAATTTTTTGGTGCAGCTACATCACCTGGCAGCCTGCTCGAGACCTTGAAAGCTGCTGGGTTTTGCCGCTGACTCAGATTGCTTCTGAGTGTCTATTTCTGTTTGCCATTACTTATGGTTTGCCATGAGAAATGTAAATCTGAGGTTTGTGATTACCAAGAAGGGCCCTCACACCGTGGTCTTACATGGTCACTTCCCAAATCACTTTGCAGCTTCAACATACCTCGAGCGAAGAGGGAGCTGGCTCAGCTGAACAGGTGCACGTCCCCGCAGCAGAAGCTGGCTTGTTTGCGGAAGGTGGTGCAGCTGATCACCCAGTCTCCCAGCCAGAGAGGTGTGTGCTCAGGGCGGTGGCTGCAAAAGTCCAGATGCAAACATCTGTTGAGGAGCAGTGCCATCTTAAAGGGCCATAGAGATGGGCTGATGTGTAGCAGTGTGTGTGAGCACCCCAGAGCCTATTCTGCAGAGTGGGTGCCTAGTAATGGGGGTAGGGGGTAGGGGGGTAGGTTAGGCATCTTTAGGTAAGAAAATGTTGGTGGAGAAGCAGTGGCCTCAAAAAAAAGCCAAGCTGGTGATGGGTACAGGGGAGTTCAACTGTTAGGTATTTTGTATATATTTAAAATTTTCCATTATTAAAAGTAAAAACAAAATACGCTAAGAAAAAATTAATGAGAAAGCAGATCCTTGTGGGCCAGTGAGGATGCTCTTCAAAGTGTATTAAATAAAATGAACAGGAGTGTGTATAGTATACTTCCAGGAGCACTGCACAAAGTGAGTGGCTCTATATCCATATATATATATATATATATATATATATATATATATATACACACACAGTGGGGTGATCATAGCCTCTCTTGGAATGATACATGGGAAGCAACAGAAGTGGCTTCTGAGGAAGAAGTCTGGGTGGCACAGATGGGAGAGCCATGCATGGTCAGCTCTTTTGTACCGTTTGGAATTTTAAATGTGTGACTGAATCACTTAAACAAAATTTCAATGAGAAATTGCCCATCAGCCCTGGACTCTGCAGTGTATAAAATGGAAATGATCTCGGGAGGAAAGAGGCTTCTGCCAGTGATCCTGGCACACCTTTGAGTTGTATCCACCATCACCGACTTCCCTGGGCTCTTTCCCTGTCCTGGGATTGGTGGGGGGAGGTGGGGCAGGGCGGGGATGGGTAGCAAGGGGTGGTCTGCTTGGAGCTTGCTGTTTTCTGCACGTGTTCTCAGGACACGAGGCATTCATTTCCTCCTGGAGTCGGACACCTATTCAGGACACTAGAAAGGCAACTGTGCGGTTGAATTTCTCCCCGCTGTGCCATCTTCCTGGATTGTGGTTTTGTGGGTTGGACGGTGGTGGGGAGTTGGTAACGCCTGTCAGTCCATTTGTGTCCCAGGATGATCCTGAATGTGTGTTTCCCGCTTGCAGTTAACTTGGAGACCATGTGTGCTGATGATCTGCTGTCAGTTCTGTTGTATTTGCTTGTGAAAACAGAGATCCCTAATTGGTAATATTTTTTTTGTTGTTAAAATAACTTTTTTCAAAATGGCAGCACTGTACTGGGGTGGTTTTAGTGTCACTCTAGGAAGCGGAGTGCTGCCTATGAGCCAGGTACCTGCCCTGCAAGGGGTGTCTGTCATCCACCTGCAGGTGGGGAAACTGAGGCCCAGAGATCTTATGTTTCTCTCTGGAACATGTGGCTAGTCAGCGGCTGAGAGGCAAGTGAGCTCCAGTTCTGTGTGGCCCCAAAGCCCATCCTTTTCTCACAGAAACCCAAATTCACCGTAGAAAAAAATCAGCTTCCTACAAATTAGCTCATTGCAGGAAAGTAGCAAGTGGCTTTACTTCTTTTGCCTGTTTTTAAAAAAATATTTATTTATTTGGCTGTAGTAGGTCTTAGTTGTGGCATGTGGGATCTAGGTTAGTTCCCTGACCAGCGATGGAACCTTGGCTACCTGCATTGGGAGCAGAGGCTCTTAGCCACTGGACCACCAGGGAAGTCCCAATTATTTCCCTAATTGCACTCCATCTAAATAAAGATCCCAGGGGAAGCCGCCTTTGCTCCCCAGAGCTGACCGACTTTGTGACCAAGCCAGTAGCATCATTTCTACCGAAGTGTTAATGGGGGTATATAGCAACTAAACTGTTTTCTTCCTTTTATTAGGATGGCAAACTTGAGTTACATCAAAAACTTCAGATTTAGCAGCTCAGCCAAAGATGAACTGGGATACTGCCTGACCTCAATCGAGGCTGCAATCGAATACATTCGGCAGGGAAGCCTCTCTGTTAAGCCAGTAAGAGTTCCACCTTGTCCCGCCCTTTCTCTGTGGCTGCCATGGTGTGTGCGGTGGGGTTCTCAGGGTGTTGTGGAGGAGGAAGACCAGAGATGCTCTCCCAAGAGAATGGGGCCTCAGCCATTTAAAAAACTGCCTGGCAGACTGAACACAAAGCAGCCAGTAGGTGTGAAAGTTGGCAGGTTATCCTTGGCTCTCACTTCATTGATCTCCTGCTTCATTAATCCTGGTCATCCTCGAATGCACACGGGCAGAAGGGGACACCAGAAGTGGTGAATTGGGGTACCCTGATCATGCTGGGCAAGAGATGAGATTAGAAACATCTGCAGTTTTAAGGACTCAGCGGCCCTATTGTAATTTCCTTGGTTGGTTGGTGAACTTAGACTGGCAGAGGCGATTATATTCCTATGAGAACTGTGAGAGGCTTAAACCAAGATTGCACTGCTGATTTATTTCGCATTATACCAACCATCAAAACGTGACAGTACTCACAGAAACTGCAAAGTTGAAATCAATCGTAAAAGAGATTTCTGTATTAAAAACCCAGAACCCCAAGGATTGAACATTCACACTCAATTTTCCCCTGATGTTGGAAGCTCCCCAAAATAATGACAAGTTGAAACATCTGAAAAAGAACATAGCGCTGTTCAAATGGGGACACTCGGGTACAAGCAGTTCCATGAATTCATTCATTGTTAACATGTTTATGTATTTTCCAGTCTTTTTCCTTGCCATGTATATCTTAGGTAATTGAAATGATATTGTAGATAACATTGCATACTGTTTTTTTCTCCAGAAAAGATAATTTCCTTTTTTTTTCTGATTAGAAGGCTAATATTTGTTTATAAATAATATTTGATATATAAAAAGTTGCAGTGAAGACAGCAAAAGCCTTCTATAAGCACACTAGCTGCGAATGACTTTTACTAACATTTTGATAGATGTCTTTTTCTGTGCTTACACAATTATATTTTTAACCAAAATTTGAGTTTCTGCTGCACTTGATGGCACATAGCCCAACAGAATCCTGATGCTTGCTGAAGAATTAAGTTCTGCTCTTGTCTGGGTTTGATTTGATCACCCATACACACACATAGGAGCTTGCCAGGTGACTCAGTGGTAAAGAATCCCCCAGCCAATGCAGGAGACACAGGTTTGATTCCTAGGTCAGGAATATCCCCTGGAGGAGAAAATGGTAACCCACTCCAGTATTCTTGCCTGGGACATCCCATGTGCAGAGGAGTCTGGTAGGCTACAGTTCATAGGGTCTCAAAGAGTTGGACACGACTGAGCATGCATGCATGAATATAAGCACACACGCAGGTAAAATTAGAAGCTGTGCAAGAGTTGGACATAACTGAAGCGACTTAGCTTGCATGGATCTCATCTCAGATGGATCTTGTGCGACTCTCAAGAAAAGCTGCTTCTAATTCGGGGGAAACCATTAGCATTCAGAATGTACATGTGGTGTACATGGGTGCCTCTGCATACACACGTGTCCACAGAGTCAGAAATGCCGCTCACTTCCAGAGCTGGGTAGTAAGATGTCTTAGGTTGAATTGTCTTCTGTGAGGTTCCAGGAATGCATGTTGTTCCCATGGTGCCTGCCTTGGGGACGTTTTCCATCACAGCCCTGCCCTTCTGGTCCTTTCCCTCTGATTGCTCTCCTCTCCTGGACCCACTGCCTTGCAGAGGCCTCACCTCGTGCTCCTCGATGGAGCCTTGTCACCTGGAGGGAGGCACCTACCTCTTGAAGGTGCTCCTGTCCCCTTGCTGCCCGCTTCCTGTTCCACAGCCATCCTCCTTTCTCGCTTTCCATGATGTGTAGGCAGTATGGCCAGCCCTTGAAGGCCTTTGGCCAGAGAATAAAGAGATGGTTGACCAGACACCATCACTCAGCTTCTCACACCTGCTTTGCCTTCAGAAAATGTTCCAAGTGGGATCGGGGAGTATGTGAGGGGGGACCTCTCCTGCTGGTGTATGGTGGAGTCTAGCCCTTGGGCAAGTCTGTTTCTCTGAGCCCCTGTCCATTCTCCTGTCTACACTGGGGAGCATGTTGTATATTTCACCCCTATGGGTAGTTGTGAGGATCAAATGAGATATTAAAAAAAAAAAATACTTACTTATTTAGTTTGGTTGGGCTGGGTCTTAGTTGTGGCATGCTGGATCTTTAGTCTTCATTGCTCTGGGTCTTAGCCACTGGACCAGCACGGAGGTCCTTAAATGGGATATTTGAAAGTGCCTTTTCGATGTGTGAAGTGATCATTGATGCACTTCCTTGCTCTTGCAACACTCCTCATCTGGATGTCCCCGTTTCCTGATTCTCTGGTGTATTCTGTGTGGATCGCCCCAAGGCTGGCTGTTAGCTTGGGTGAGCAAGGTGGGTACACAGCCCAGTATGCCCCTCTTGTCTGGGCTGTCAGACCAGCTGGTCCTGCTTTCCTGGGTGAAGGCTGATCGATACCCCCAGACTTGGGACAAGGTTGCATCATCCTTATGACCAGCCATGGAGCCCGACCCTTGGGTCTTGAGGGGATCAGACCTGAGAGCTGCCTGCCTCTACCTGTGTGGAGAGAGCAGGTGTCGCAGCTTACTTGTTTTGTGTGATGTCAGCGTTGGGATTTTGTCTGCGGCATTGCCTCTGCCTCAGTACAGTTCCATCTAGAAGTGTGCGAGGCCATAGCTGCTTGTTGGTGGTATTTCCTGGGAAAGAGCCCAAGTGTATCTCTAAGCAGCAGGTGAGGTTTCTGAAAAGCATTAAGTGTTTCTAAGTCGAATAATGGTTTCCTGTTGACTCTTTATATACTTTAATGTAGTTTCACGGAAATTTTCTCCCCAAGACATAATCCTAGTTGAGATGACTATAAATATTCTTTAAGTATGTTCATTGGCGAAGGCTTGAACTTTTGGAAAATAACCATTACTGGGGTGACTTTTACCTTTGTGGACAGAAAAAAACAGGGCAGAACCCAAATAGTATTTCCACACTTCTCTGCTCCAGCTTTGCAGGCTTTGGCTCACTCCTGCTTTACTGGGCTTCCAATAAATAGGGTTTACCCTTTTCCCAAATTGGTCTTTGCTGATATGCTATGTCTTCTGGTCATTCTTCCCTGAAGATTCAATCTTAGAAGATCTGTCTCTTTTCATCACTGCCCTTTAAATAGTCACCCCAAATGGAGGAAAGAGCCCCAGATTTACCCGAACAATAAGGTCTTTGATGTTTTTCTGACCCTAAGCTGCTCAGCTGTAAATCACTGAGTAAAGCAGTCGATAGAGCTTTATGCAGCAGATACCAGCGGGAGCAAAGGTAGCTCTAATACTGAGGGGTTGTTGTTTGCCAACACAACCCTGTGAGGGCGGCTGGTGTGAGGGGCCCTGATTGGCGGTGGACCCCAGAAGTGTTGGCAGCTTTATCTTTAACTGGACCACCTATGTCAGAACTTAGGGGGCCACAGAGAACTGATCCCATCATTTTGTCAGGGTTTGGCAGCAGCTGGCTGGGAACAACTCTGTCCACCTTCCGCCAGCATTCTTTCCAAGAACGTTAATCTGTCATCAGAAAATGGAGTCACAGGTGCTTAAGTGAGCATTGAGTGTCTCTCTAGAAATGATTTCATAAAGTAAGAATATTTGTTTGGATTTTTATATCTAGGTAAAAATAATCTGCACAATGAAGTTTATCTGTTGAGGTGGACCCAGTAGTTTATTGGACTTTGGGCCAAGTGGCCATGTTGTCTGATGTTTCAATATGTATGTTCAAGAAGCACAGCCCTTCTCTCTGTTGCTGAGAAGCGTAGACCAGCCTGTCAAATGGTTCTCCTGTCTGTGTGTGCTCAGTCGCTCAGTCGTATCTGACTCTTTGCGACCCTGTGGGGTGTAACCTGCCAGATTCCTCCATCCATGGCATTCTCCAGGCAAGAATACTGGAGTGGGTTGCCATTTCTTCCTCCTGGTCTCCTGTCTGTGGGCCCAGATAAAACGCCGGGGACAGAGCTCTGCAAGCATTAGGGCAGATATTGTGAGAGGTGCGGGAGGCCAGGACAACCTAGGTTGCCCTGGGGATGATAGTGCTGTGTGCACGCCACCTTCCACACTTAGAAATGCTACATTCTACACACACACACTCACACACAGCCAGTACACTGCCCACCTCCCACATCCCTGCTGGGAATTCATCGTCAGAGCCCCGCTTCTTGGAGAGGCAGATGGGGAGCCCCTCTCCCAGCCTGATGAGGCTCAGTGGGGTCGGGGAGAGGCACTGTCGGGCCCGCTCTCTGGGACATGGCACTGATTGTCCCGGGTCCTCTGTTTTCAAGGATCTGCACTGCAGCTCATGATGTGTGATAACATGGCTTATCGGCTTTTTCCGCAGGAGTCGGAGGGATTTGGTGACAGACTGTTCCTTAAGCAGAGAATGAGCTTACTGTCTCAGCTGACCTCAACACCCATCGACTGCCTGTTTCAGGTAAGATGCGGGAGGTCCTGGGGGTGCCGATGTGTGAGGAGTGCTCCGTCTTTTATTTTTTAACATATATTTATTTTTGTTTATTTGGCTGCTGCTGGGTCTTAGTTTCAGCATGTGGGATCTAGTTCCCCGGTCAGGGATCAGACCTGGGCCCCTTGCATTGGGAGTCTTAGCCACTGGATCACCAGGGAAGTCCCAGGAGCTCTCCATCTTTCCTCACCTTTTGAGTCTCTGTAGAATCCATCAGGGTGGTTTGCATAGTTCAACACAGAAGTCCATTTTGTGCTCAAGGAGGCGGTAGGGATGCTGGGGTCTTATGGGATCAGCTTGCTGCCCGTCTTCTCTGATGTGAGCTGTGCTGTAGTCCCAGTGGAATGGACCCTTGTTAGTGGAACCCTCTGCCCGGCTGTCCTCCTCTCTCCATTCAGCAAAACATGGCTTGTTCTTCACCGTCTACTCGGTGGCACCTCACTGGCAGCTCTGCCAGAATCAGTGCCTCTTCTCAGCTCCAGGAACCAGCGTTATAGACCCCTGTGGGCTGGGAGCACAGCAGCTGGTGGTGGTTTGATCCCCAGGCAGTGCAGGAGGCTCCCTCCTCAGATCTGATCTACCACGGGCAGGCTGGCGAGGTGCCCTGGGAGGCAGTCATCAGGAGGCCACCGGCCAGAGTGGGTTCCATGAGCTCTGTGCCCCAGAAAGTCTCCCTCCATATAGGGACTATATATGGGAGTAACAGGGGTGAGCCCTGCAATTAGCAGGGGTCTCCTGCTAATTGCAGCTGTTTTGAAAGCCAAGGCTCTCTTAAAGACAATTGTAATCTAAAAGAAGGGTCAGAATCTGTGCTGACACTCAGGGTGGATTGTCCCCCCATGCCTGTTGCTCTGGAACTTTTGTCAGACTGTTAGTTATGGAAAAATCCTAATGTTTACAAAAATAAAAGAGTGGAATCTGATGAACGAACCTCCATGTAGCCATCTCCCTAATCTTGTTCCATTTCTATCCCCTGGCCCCTCTTTCGCCATCCATCCAAATTATTTTGAAACAAGTCCCAGAGAACAGATCATTTCATCCATCCACACATAGTTGGGCTTCCCTGGTGGCTCAGATGGTAAAAAATCTGTCTGCAATGCAGGAGATCTGGGTTCAATCCCTGGGTTGGGAAGATCCCCTGGAGGAGGGCATGGCAACCCACTCCAGTATTCTTGCCTGGAGAATCCCCATGGATAGAGGAGCCTGGCGGGCTACAGTCCCTGGGGTTGCAAAGAGTCAGACACAAGTGAGCTACTAAGTGCACACACATAGATATATGTTTCTGTAAGGATGCTCCCCAAATTCACAGCTTAGAGAATGAATCATTCCGACCTGTCAACAGTGTTTTTGATGTCACTTTTTAGCACATTGCATCAGGTAACCAGAAGGAAGTGGAGAGACTTCTGAGCCAGGAAGACCAAGATAAAGATGCCGTCCAAAAGATGTGTCACCCTCTGTGTTTCTGTGATGACTGTGAGAAACTCGTCTCTGGGTAAGAGGGCCCCTCAGCACCGGGAAGGGGGAGACTCGGGGCCTGGGTGGAACTTCCCCCTCGTTCGCTGTGCAGTTTGGAATAAGGAAGTTATCCTTCCTGCACTCTGCTTCTTCTGCTGTAAAGTGGAGATGGTAACCTCCGCCTCTTTGGCGAATCAGATGGAATAAAAACATTTAGCACCCTGCTGGGCTGCTTAAAATGGAGAGGTGGACAGAGGGCCTGCCTCAACCTCAGAAAGTGGGTTTTAGATAGAGGGCTGTCAGCTCCTCCCCACAACCTTTTCAGTTTCCTCTTACCTTTATCAGGCTGTTTGGCTGGGTGTGGGGAGGGCACCGGCAGAAGCAGTGGCTGATGCTCTCTGGGATGCTCTAGAGGAGACCCAGCTTGGATCACACCAGAGGTCTGTCTTCTGGTCCCAGGAGCCCAGCGTGTCCATGCCTCGGGTCTATTTCTCTGTGCCCTCTTTCCCTTTTAGGAGGCTGAATGACCCCTCAATTGTCACTCCATTCTCCAGAGACGACAGGGGTCACACACCGCTCCATGTGGCTGCCCTCTGTGGTATGTGGTCCGGCCTCTGTGCTCTCAGGGCAAAGGGATGGGGCCAAGAGTGCCCCAGCAGAGCGTGGCTGCTGGGGGAGGTGGTGTGGGGTGGTGGAAGCGATTGTATCACAGGCCCCCTGCCCCGGGACATCCATGTGCTGTCCCTGGGCTAGAAGAGCATGTGTCCGGCCTGTGTGGATGCCTGACACTGACCTGGGCTGGTGGTCCAGCCAGGGAAGGCTTGAATCTGAACTATGAGATTGACCTCAGAATTGAAGTTCTTATATTCCTGATTAAAAAAAAAATAACTTTACTATCTCTATTTTTTATTCTATATTCTTTTCCATCGTGATTTATCATAGGATACTGAATATAGTTCTCTGTCTTTTAAAGTGCATAGTCAAATAAAATGCATGCAAATAAAAGTGTACATTCAAGGTAGAAAACACAACATCTGTAAGCTCTTTCCATCCTCCAGTCATCTAAAGATTGTTTCGATCCATGACTGTCTGAAACGTCAAAACACTTGAGTGTGTGTGTATATAAAAGATATGATATTGTGGGGCTCACAATGTCTGTGGGGTGCTTTTTTTCCACTGGGCAATATATAAAAACATTTCTCCAAGTCAGTATTTTTTTTTTCATGGTCGCACAAGATTCCATCCTGTGAAGTGATGCACCATGGACTTTTCTGTGGACATCTAAGGCTCTTTTCTCCTTCCTTCTGTGGCTGTGGCAGGGGTGTTGGGTGGGGGTGGGGCTGGAGCCGAACTCCCTCCAGAGGGGGAGCACCACCCCCAGAGTGTCCAGAGTCTGCAGCGTGTGACTTGACATTAGCTCTGGTTCCCCCCACGCAGAAAAATGCCTCCTGGCTTGTCTCGCGCCAGCAGATGAGAGGATGAAATAAAGTCATGGCTTCGCTCACTGGTTTCAGAAAGCCCCCCTTCTTCCCTTCTGTTCTGCAGGGCAGGCGTCCCTCATCGACCTCCTGGTTTCCAAGGGCGCGGTGGTGAACGCCACGGACTACCACGGCTCCACCCCGCTCCACCTTGCGTGTCAGAAGGGCTATCAGAGTGTGACGGTGAGCAGCTGGGCTCTGCCCGAGGCCTCGCAGGGCTGGCCTCTCCTCTGCTCCACGTGGTTCTGTGGGGGCGGGGGGGTCACGGCGGGCCTGGGGTCTCGGGTGCCTCCCCCGGAGTCTGCTGGGCAAAAACTGTTAGGTGTAGATTAGAGACGTCACGGTGATCCGCGGTAAGAAGGGCACCCCCAGATACTAGAAATATTTTAGATAGGGCCCCAAGATGGACTTTCCCTTAGACTTAATACCTACGGGTGAGAAGACAGTCCAGAAACTGGAAAGCAAACTTGTTTTGCCAGTCAGTGATGTTTCGATTTCTCCCAAAGTTGTTTGGTACATAGAGTGCCTCCGTTCCTGCTAGTGATTGATGGGGGTTGTTTTTATTTTTTTTTTTTTAAGTTTTTATTAGAGTATAGTTGATTTACAATGTTGTTTTAGTTTCAGCAAAGTGAATCAGTTATACATATACGTATATCCACTCTTTTATTTTTTTAATGATCTCTAAACTTTTTCTCAGGAAAGAGGAGTGATACTTTTTTTGCTTATATTTTTCAAATTTTTTCAATTTTTTTGTGTAATTGAAGAATAGTTGATTTACAATGCATAAGTTGCAGATGTACAGAAAGTGATCCAGTTATATATATTTGTGTGTATATAGTATATTTAGAGTATACAATCTTTTTTTTACCTTTTAAATTTTAATTTTTTTAGGCCAGTACATGTCTGACATTGCACACAAGACTCAGCACCCTGGGGTTGTGGGGAGTTGACCTTCATTGACTTACTAAGCACCAGGCCCAGGGCCAAGTACTTTTTTTTTTTTCTGTAACTTTTTCTTTATTTTCTGGCCGTAGCATGCAGGATCTTAGTTCCTTGACTAGGGATTGAACCCAGGCCCCTTTCAGCAGAAATGTGTTGCCCTAGCCACTGGACCACCAGGGAAATCCCCATAGTATATATTCTTTTTCAGATTGGTTTCCATTATAGGCCTGATCTGATTTCAATTGTAATGCAAGTAGATAAGGTTGAAAATGGAGAGTGGGCAACCACCCCCTGTGAGGCCCCAGGCCGTGCTCCCGGAGGGCCCCGGGCCTGCCCTGCTACGCTCGCTGGTGGTCACCGCTGTCTCTTCTCCCTTGGAAGCTGTTACTGATGCATTACAAAGCCAGCGCCGAAGTGCAGGACAACAACGGCAACACCCCGCTGCACCTGGCCTGTACCTACGGCCATGAGGACGTAAGTGGCCCTTGCTGTCCCCAGGGAGGGTGCCTCACCCCTTCTCACTGGAGGAGAAATGTGATTTCTCATTTGTTGCATGTTGTATTTTATGTTGACAATTATTGGAACATTTGGTGTATTATTTTTTTAATTAAAAAATGTAAAAGCATGTTACAGATGCTATACCGAAATAACAGAAATCTAAAACATAACTGCCCATTGTCTTTTCCTGAAATCTTATACATCATCCCTGCTGCCATCTGCTTCTTGCCTGTGTTCGTCCTTAGTCTTTACATTTTATATTTTTGTGGTAATATCAAGGAATTTTACCATTTCCATTTTCGCTTAATATTGAACTGTGCCTGTGTTTTTTTTCCCCTAACCACTCTCTCCCCTGCTTCTCTCCACGATGATATACAGGTAGATTTATACAGACAAAGGGTTAGGTGGTTGAGGAGTGAAAATGAGATCATACCCTACACATGTTAAAAATATATATTTATTCTTATTTGACTGCATTAGGTCTTTGTGACGTGCGAGATCTTTTGCTGTGGTGTGAGGGCTTAGTTGCCCTGCGGCATGTAGGATGGCTCAGCAAGTAAAGAATCCACCTGGAATGCAGGAAATACAGAAGACGTGGGTTCGATCCTTGGGTTGGAAAGATCCCCTGGAGAAGGAAATGGCAATCCGCTCCAGTATTCTTGCCTGGGAAATCCTATGGAGAGAGAAGCCTGGTGGGCTACCATCCACGGGGTCGCAAAGAGTCAGACTTGACTGAGCAACTAAGCACAGACATACATACAATGTGGGGTCTTAGTTCCCTGACCAGGGATCAAACCTGCGTCCCCTGCATTGGAAGGCAGACCCTTAACCACTGGACCACCAGGGAAGTCCCCCTGACATATTTTTATGCAGCTTATTTTCCTAACTTACTATATTGTGGACATCCTGTAGGTCAATCAATGTAGATCTAGCCCATTCTGTAATCACTACCCAATAATCTATCATGTGTATTGTGTCGGGGTCCCTGAGGCCACTCCCCAGTTCAGTGACTCACTAGGAAGGTGCACAGGACTCAGCGTGCAGTTGCTTCACAGCTCGGATTTGTTGTAGTGAAAGGACACAGAGCTAAACCAGCCAAGGGGAAGGTGCAAGGCTGGAGCCCGGAGGAAACGGACAGGCTTCCGAGAGTGGCTCCCTGTGTAGTCTCAGGACACACTTATTCCTCTGGCAGCGTAACAACACGTGCGTGGCGTTTCCCACCAGAAGCTCATCAGGGACTCAGTGCCCAAGATTTTGGCTGGAGGCCGGTCATGTGAACCCTCTCTGCCTAGCATGTTTCAAATTCCAGACTCCCAGAAGAACAGCAGGTGTTCAGCATAAACCACTGTTGGACAGACAGTTTAGGCCCAGTGAGCCCGTCTTATCTACCAGTAAGGGCACTGTGAGAACGGTCCTCAAATCCAAGCTCCCAAGGAATTTGGCCAGTCCAGGGCCAGACCTGCAGGCAGGCCTCTCATGGGATGATGGTCGGGCCTACTCTGGGAACTCCTTTCTACACATGATATGCGACAATTTATTCAGCCATTCTAGTGGATTGGCAGTTGGGTTCTTAAAAAATAAAAATGACGTGTCCTGATCAGGTTACCTGGCGCCCTGGAGGTGGAATGTCCTCTTACTGCACGTGTGAGTGGCAGGTGGCACCTGGATCGAGTCAGGATATAGGCTGAGGCTTCAGGGTGCGCAGATCTGCCGGGGGCCTGGCGTGTGAGCTCACGGGGGCCTCTCCCATTCTGTTCGCAGTGCGTGAAGGCTCTGGTCTACTTTGACGTGCAGACCTGCAGACTGGACATTGGTAACGAGAAAGGAGACACCCCCCTGCACATCGCTGCCCGCTGGGGTTACCAGGGCATCATCGAGACCTTGTTGCAGAACGGGGCATCCACGGAGATCCAGAACAGGCTGAAGGAAACGCCCCTCAAGTGTGCGTTAAACTCAAAGGTAGCGTTTTTCCTCTCGGAGCGGCAGTATGACTTAAAAAAAAATACCACCATCCGCAGGTCAGGTCTCTGCCGTGCTGTTCAAACTGCATTGGTCCCCAAGGCTGGAATGTGTGCATACTCGCTGTGCTGCATACCACACCTGGTTGTTAATGAGGTTCATGCAGTCATATTATTTTCCATCTTAGTAGGAGTTTTTCTCAGTGTCCTACCAGGACCTGCTCCTGCAGAGTTTGCCTCTGAGGGCTGTTGGCTTATGAGCAGATAGAGTGAGAGGAGATGGGGCGGTGGCTCTGGCCAGGAAGAGCAGGGGTGGGGCGTGGAGACAGCAGCGTCAGCTCTGTTCCCTGTTCCTGCACCCTCAGCGCCTAAAACCTTACTCTGAGTCGGCCGGCTCTGGATGTCATTGGGTATAGTTTCCTCCGTAAATGATTCATTAATGAACTACTATCCTTTCCTGCCAGTAACTTCTGGACACACGTAGTTTGGGGCCACATGTCATGCAGTGCTCACTTGCGAGGGGGTGGGGAATGGGGGGGTCCTTCCAGAGGCCAGGCCTGTATGCCTTGTGGCAGCAACCCTGTTGAAGGGATGCCCACAGAGAAGTGTTTGACCAACTAGCTGGGGGAGCGTAGGGCCACCTGCCGTGGCCATCCGAGGTCCTGATGTCCAGGCCAGCCTGGCTGGTGGCTTGCACAGGTGATTCTGTTTCCATGCAGGTCTCCAAATGTCTCTCTTTACACAGGCCCTACTTTTGCCTTTTGATGTTTTATTATATCATTCCCAACCCTCATCTAGGGAGCTCTTTTAGTTCCTTCCTGTCTTGTAGAAGTACCAGTTTTTGTTTTTAAACCACTTTATTGAAGTATGACTGACATACAGAAATTTCCTCAGACAGTAAGAAGTCTGCCTGCAATGCGGGAGACCTGAGTTCGATCCCTGGGTCAGGAAGATCCCCTGGAGAAGGAAATGGCAGCCCACTCCAGTGTTATTGCCTGGAAAATCCCATGGACAGAGGAGCCTGGTGGGCTATAGTCCATAGGGTCACAAAGAGTTGGACATGACTGAGCAATTTCACTTTCTATTTCACTGAGGTATGTGTGACATACAGAAAGCTGTGCACATTTAGCGCATGCCACTTGATGGGTTTGGAGATCAGTCCCCGCCCATGAGACCAGCACCACAGTCTCTGCTGTAAACAGATGCATCACCTCCAGATGTGTCCCCCGTCCTCTTTGTTTATTATTATTATTGTGTGTGTGTGATAAGGTCACAATGTAAGACCTAGTTTTCGGAGTTTTCGGAGCCAAGCTTTCAGAGGTTTAAATCCACGCTCCTGGCCTGGGGGAGGGGAGCGGGCTCAGCTCCCATGCCCTCATGGGGTCTCAGCTTTGCAGCAGCCAGAGCTGGGGGACTGGGCGAGGCCACCCTTGGCCGGAGATGCCCATGAGGGGCTGAAGGCACCTCTGTCCTGGAGCTTCTCCCAAAGGCCCCTCCAGAGGGAGATCAGCAGACAGAAGAAGCAGCCGGCCGTCCCGCTCGGCTCTGAGCTGCCCCCGCTTGAGGCCCCTGGCTGCCAGTGGAAAGGCCACGTTTAGGCCTGTGGACGACCAGCCCAGGCTGGGCCAGGCAGCCCCTGAGGCCCCTCTGTGCCGGGGTTCCCTTGGCCTCTGGGCCCGTTGGTGGGGAGGCCGGCTCCTCCTGCTGGGCCTAGTGTGAGTCTGAGCAGCTCCCCGCCCGCTGTGGGCCTGGCTGGGCTGCGCCCCCTCCCGAGCAGGTGGGGGGGCACCATACAGGTGATGAGACTTCGCTTACTCATCTCATCCGCGTGCCCCTCGTCCTAGATTCTGTCCATCATGGAAGCCCACCATCTGTCCTTGGAGAGGAGGCAGAAGTCTTCAGAGGTAAGACGGCAGGGCTGCGCTCTTCGGCCCTGTTCGCGACCAGCCTCTGCCTGGCCCTCACCCCCACTCTCGCCGGGCTGTAGGTGTCTGTGCAGGCCCCTCCGTGCTCCATGGACTCCATCAGCCAGGGCTCCTCCACCTCCAGCTTCTCCTCCGCGTCGCTGAGCTCCAGGCAAGAGGAGCCCAAGAAGGACTACAGGGAGGTGAGGCTCCCAGACGGGAGGGTGGAGGGGACCCGTGTTCTGGGGGCCACTTAGAGCCCCGGCCTGATGGGGGCCATGCCATGCCCTTGGGGAAGCCCAGCCGCCTCCTCCTTGCCCTTCATGGACACACGTGCTTAAGTGTCTGTGTGTGTGTGTGTGTGTATGGGAGTGGGTGTGTGTGATGGGAGGGGGAGTATTCTAAGAAGCCTACAGGTAGAGTCACCTGTAGGTCCACTGCTTTAAGATTCTATTACCAAGCACGTTCTCCGTCCTTCCCTCCCACTCCGTCAGCTCACTTATTAGCTTGGTGTGTCGTTCCTGGCTTCCTGCAGAGTTTATGGAGATAGTTACGTGTCCTCTCGCACTACCTTTTATAAAAGCTGACTTATACCCTGTTTGTTTGTTTTTCCCTGTCTAACTTACCTTAGAGCTTGTCCAGAGTCAGCCCCCAGAGCAGACCATGGTGTGGATGCACCCCAGTTCCTCCCCTGTGGTTGGGGAGCCCTCACTGACCCCACCCCGGGACCCCTCCACCCCCGCCACCCTGAGCTCAATGCAGAACCACAGGGAAGAAAAGCCCAGAGACATGCTCCAGGGTTTAACAGAGGCTGGGAGCGGATCCGTGAGCTTTAACCTCATGGTATCCGTAGCTGGTGGATAACGAGAGCCGAATAGATGCAGGTCTGGTGGGTGGTCGCCCTCTTAGGAAGCACTTGGGCTCCAGGTGGCTGGTGTCCTCCTGTGCCACTTGAGTGGCGGGTCATCTTACAGACCTTACATGGAAGCTGCCCTGTATGAACAACTTTGGGCATGTGTTTGAAAGATAATGAGATCAAGAGACATGAAAGCTACTAGGTCTTCAGAATCCTCTTTTTTTTGTTTTTCTAATAATAACATGAATTTCACCTTTATTTAATCATTTTGACCATGAGTCTTGTGGGATCTTAATCCCCAGACCGGGGATCGAATCCAGGCCCCCAGCAGTGGAAACACTGAGTTCTAACCACTGGACCACTAGGGAATGCCCAGAATGTCATTTTTATTGTTTCTATTCTTACCATATTATTATGTTTTCCCTTACATTCTTTCTCCTTTTATTAAGGTAGAAAAACTTTTAAGAGCTGTTGCTGATGGAGACCTGGAAATGGTGAGTTTTATTAAATAATTAATAGAGTTTATTTTTTAGAAAGCTTTAGATTCATAGCAAAAGTGAGCAGGAAGTACAGACAGAGTTCCCATATGCTATCTCCAAACACATACAACCTCCATAGAAATGGTGAGTTTTTAGAAGTGAATTTCAGACGGCTTGCTCTCAGCTGAAGCAGCTGTGCCCGTGTGTTTTGTTTCCAGGTGAGTTAGGAGCTGTGGGGGGGTCTTTGTTCACGTTCACGCAGAAGGGGTGCATTTCATGAGTGATGGTGATGGGATGGGACGTACCCTCCCACAAGTAACAAGGCAGGTGGGATAAAGCCTCAGAGGGAGCCTGCCCCTGCCTTTTAGACATTCATATTCCAGGAGGGTGGTGATGCTCGCAAGAGGGCCGGACCCCACTAGCTGGGAGCAAGGTGAACAGGCTGGGTAGGGGATGGGTAGAGGTGGCGAAGGGGAAGCCAGAACACAGAGGGCGTTGGTGCGGCCCTGCAAGGAGCTGTGGGCGGTGTGGCATCCTGGTCAGGAGGCTGAGTCCCAGGCTTGGGGCTGAAAGGACCCACAGCAAGCAAGTGTCCAGATGAGATGGCGCTAAGCTGTGCATCCTAACCCTTCCTGTCAGGTGATGGGGAACAGCTGTGATATCACTGGAGATGCCCATGGGCAGTTCCCCTGGCTTGTCTTCAGCTTCCTGAAAGGAATTTGTTCTGTCTTCCACTTTATTTTTTAAAAATTAAAAAAAAAATTTTTCTTAAAAAATTTATTTGTCTACAACAGGTCTTAGATGTAGCATATGGGATCTTTAGTTGTGGCCTGTGGGATCTAGTTCCCTGACCAGGAATTAAACCGAGGCCCCCTGCGTTGGGAGGAAGGAGTCTGAGCCACTGGACCACCAGGGAAGCCCCCTGTCTTCCACTTTAAAAGGAGGAGTAAATTAGCCCTTACCAGATTTGGAGCTTTGACTGGATTGGGTTTACAAGAGCGCTTTTAAGAGTCATGTTTCAAGAGTGCTTCTCAAAGATGATGGAATTTGGGGTGATGGACAGGAGTTCCTAGGATCTGATTAGCACAGTTTCCGGGGGTATATGGAGTCGGAACATAGTTGTAAGTGTCTTAGCCTCTGCCCAGAGCCCACTGTGATCCCCTCAGCCTGACTCGCGGCTCCTCTCAGGCGAGGACCCGGGGTGTGGATCTGGCTGGTGCTGGCTGCTCCCCTCTTGAGACCAGCCCTGGGGAATCCAGCGTTCTTGAGGGAAGCCAAGGGGGAGTTTCTCAGGCTCCTACGAGTGTAGAGAAGAGACCGACACTTCCTATGTCGTGACGAATCTGCTTTTCATCCTGTGGGTGGGCGAGAGGGTAGGGGCACTCACGGAGGAGCTGAGCAGAGGCAGGTTGCCCAGTGCCCAGTGGTCACCACCCAAACCCATCCACACACACGACAGAACCCCCATCCCACAGCCCGAGGCCACCGCCCCTCAGCCCCCTTCCCCCATCATGTACCTTCTAACCACTGCCAAGAGAAATCGCCCTGAGTCCGGTCTATGCCAGCCAGCCTGGGAGGTGAGGCCTTCGGCCTGGGTGGAGTGTTTGCTGTCAGTGATTTGGAGGGGCCCTGGAGCGGGGATATTTGGGGGTGCATAGCATCTTCCTGGGGCCCTCTGTCACTCCTTGCAGGCATTTGCTAACTTCCCCAGGGCCCAGAACCAGGCCTGGAAATGTGTTCATGTTTTCTCACATCTAATATCCTAGAAACTGGTCTTTACTGGAACACAGAGTTGACCTGTTAGGGGTCTTTTCAGTGCTTTTGCCTGTGGGCTAGGGCATTAATGTGGAAGGGATGCTTGTGGAGTCAAAGAGCCTGTGTTCAGGTTCTGGCCACCACTTCCTCATCTTGTGGTCTTGAACAAGTTGTTGGCCCCTTGGAGTGAGTCTGCTCCCCCATAAGATGAGACAGACTACTTTTTGAAGGAGGACAATTAGATAACATAAGAGGAGGTGCTCGCGAGACGCTCTATTACCAGGGCTTTAATGCCATCACCCTGAAGCAGCACCACGCTGCCCCTTTCTAAGACAAGAGAAGAATCTAACACAAGCTGCAGAAATGGTAGCTCAGTCACTCTGTCACCACTGAAAGGATTTAGAAAGGCCTGAACACAGGAGACCCTGGAATCCTCAGGAGAGAGCACCACCATGTATAAGTTACTTCGGTGGTGGAGATGTAGGTCCTGATTTGGGAACATGTGTGTGTGTGTGTGTATGGTGTGTGCATAGGACACTGTGTGTGTGTGTGTGTGTGTGTATGTATGTCCATAGGACACTGTGTGTATGTGTGTCCATAGGACACTGTGTGTGTGTGTGTATGTGTGTCCATAGGACACTGTGTGTGTGTGTGTGTGTGTGTGTATGGTGTGTGCATAGGACACTGTCTGTGCATAGGACACTATATGTGTGTGTGTGGTGTGTGTGTAGGACAGTGTGTGTGTGTGTAGGACACTGTGTATGTGTGTAGGACAGTGTGTGTGTGTGTGTAGGACAGTGTGTGTGTGTGTGTGTAAGACACTGTGTCTGTGTGTGTAGGACACTGTGTGTGTGTGTGTGTGTGTGTGTGTAGGACACTGTGTGTGTGTGTGTGTGTGTGTGTGTGTATGTAGGACACCATGGCTTGTCCAGGGGCTGAAGATGGCTTTTAAGTCCCCATTTCTCCTCCCTGCCTGACACCAGGTGCGTTACCTGCTGGAGTGGACGGAGGAGGACCTGGATGAAGCGGAGGATGCTGCCGGGGTGGCGGACCTTGAGTTCTGTCACCCTTTGTGCCAGTGCCCCAAATGCGCTCCAGCTCAAAAGGTTTGGCGTCTCTTCTGTTGGAAGGTGGGGGTGGGAGTAGACGGCACGTTCTTCTTTTCCCCTTAGGAAAGTTGTCCCCTTCTTAGCCCTAACGGCTGAGTGCTGGTTGCAGGTGTCCCTTGAGACAGCTCAAGGTGGAGGAAAGTGGACACTCGTGCAGGACCAGCTCGGGCTGCCTGCTTTCTGAACGTGCAGGTCAGGGCACAGGGCCACACACGAGGGGTTAGTGTTTCAGTGGTTCTCAGGGCCCCTGGGTCACGAGGCAGGAGCTGATAAACAGACACATACCAAGGGGCTGTGTCCGTGTGGCCGTGGTCCCCTGGGGAGGCTGCAGGCGCCATCCACTGCCCTCTGCCTTTGCTCATGTTGGTGCACCCTCTGTGGGAGGGCCCCCTCCTAGCACAGAGAGACGCCTGTCCCCCCCACCCCCCATTTCCCCCAGTGGTAACAGCATGCAAAAGCACAGTACATAGCCTGACCAGGGTATCGCTATGGATACAATCCATCCGTCTTAGATTTCCCCAGTTTTACTTGTGCTGTGTGCATGTATATGTATTTAGTCCTGTCTCGTTTTATCACATGTGTAGGTTTGTGCATCCACCACCACAGTCACAGTACAAATAAGTTTTCACATCACAAGGAAAATCACTCATGTTGCCTCTAATAACCATACCTCCTCACCCCACCCTACCATCCCTGGCCCCTAGTCACCACTAATCTGTACCCCAGTTCTAATATTTTTGTCATTTCAAAAATGTTATATAAATGTCATCAATACAGCATGGAACCTTTGGGGACTGGCTCTGTTCACTCAGCCTAATTCCAGGTTGTTGCGTGTTGTCAACATTTTATTCTTTATCACTGAGCAAGCTGTAACACACCACTGGGGTGGAAGAGGGTGGGGGTTAATTTAATCACAGCAAGAAGCAATTTACTCTTGTGTCTTTTTGAGAAATTACAAAGGAGAAAAAGATAGTAGGTTTTAAGTGAGCAGGAACATAAGTTTATCTGACAAATCCAGCAGACACTGTGATGTGTAATTCAGCTTCTTGTTACAATTAATGAACTGTAAGGTGGGAAAAAACCAAGTAAATAAGAAGAACAGCAGAGATGTGGTGACTGCCTCCAGCCATACAGTCACCGGCTGGGCCCGAGGTCCTACTTTCACATCACATCCTTTGAAACAGCATCTGCCTTTTTAAACCCCTTTGATTTTTAAGCAGCCCACGTAGGAGAGGTCAGTTTTTTGGACTGTAAATACCCAGCAGCATGGGGACAGAACAAGAGTCGCACATCCCAGTGTGCACACTACCCTGCAGCCGCAAAGGTTCGTGTGAACGGCAAGCTCAGCCATTTCAGTATTCTAAGGTGAGAGACAAGGAAATGGCAACCCACTCCAGTATTCCTGCCCAGAGAATTCCATGGACAAAGGAGCCTGGTAGGCTACAGTCCACGGGATCGCAAAGAGTCGGACACGACTGAGTCACTTCACTTCACTTCATTATCTTGCTCTGTATCTGTTTTGTTAAGTCAAATTAATTTTCTTAACATGGGACCTTGAGTTAGACAGCTAGCACATGAGCACATACTATATATACAACATCATTTACAGCTGCTCAAAAACAATGAACTACTTAGGTAAACATTTAATAGGACATGGATAGGTTCTGTATGCTGGAAATCACAAAATGTTGATGAAAAAAATCAATCAAAGAATGCCTTAATACTTAAGAGAGATGTACAGATTCATGAAGCCTCAGCATAGGCAAGAAGTTATTTCTCCTCAGATTGATCTACAGTTTTAATGCAATTCCTATCAAAATCCTAACAAAGCTTTTGTAGACATAGACAAGCTAATTTTAAAATTTATATGGAAAGGCGCAGGTCCCAGAATACATAACAACAATCCTGGCAAAGAAGAATAAATTAGGATCACTCTACCCAATATTAAGGCTGACTGTGTAGATACAGTAATCAAAACAGTGTGGCCCTGGTGGAGGGAGAGACACACAGATCAGACAGATCAGAGAGCTCAGAAATAGACCCACACATATATAGCTGCTGAGGTCCAACAGGAAGTTGGTGGGGAAAGGATAGCCTTTTCAACAAATGGTGCTGGAGAAAATGGACATGTTCAGAAAAAAAAAAAAGAATCTCAACCTAAACTCACACCCTGTACAAAAATTAATGCAAAGTGGATCATAGACTTAACCGTAAAATGTAAAATTATAAAACTTTTAGAAAAAAAATAGGAGGAAATCTTTGGAATCCAGCATTTAAGCAGAGAGTTCTTATACTGGACACCCACAGCATGATCCATAAAGGACAAATGGATAAACTGGACTTCTTATTTATTTTTTAATTAATTATTTTAATTGGAGGTTAATTACAATATTGTGGTTTTTGCCATTCACTGACACGAATCAGCCACGGGTGTACATGTGTTCCCCATCCTGAACCCCCCTCCCACCTCCCTCCCCATCCCATCCCTCTGGGTCATCCCAGTGCACCAGCCCTGAGCACTAGTCTCATGCATCCAACCTGGACTGGCGATCTGTTTCACATATGATAATATACATGTTTCAATGCTATTCTCTCAGATCATCCCACCCTCGCCTTCTCCCACAGAGTCCAGAAGACTGTTCTTTACATCTGTGTATCTTTTGCTGTCTCATATATAGGGTCATCATTACCATCTTTCTAAATTCCATGTATATGAGTTAATGTAGTGTATTGGTGTTTTTCTTTCTGACTTACTTCACTCTGCATAATAGACTCCAGTTTCATTCACCTCATTAGAACTGATTCAAATGCATTCTTTTTAATGGCTGAGTAATATTCCATGGTGTATATGTACCACAGCTTCCTCATCCATTCGTCTGCTGATGGACATCTAGGTTGCTTCCATGTCCTGGCTATTATAAACAGTGCTGCGATAAACACTGGGGTACACGTGTCTCTTTCAATTCTGGTTTCCTTGGTGTGTATGCCCAGCAGTGGGATTTCTGGGTCATACGGCAGTTCTATTTCCAGTTTTTTAAGGAATCGCAACACTGTTCTCCATAGCAGCTGTACTAGTTTGCATTCCCACCAACAGTGTAAGAGGGTTCCCTTTTCTCCACACCCTCTCCAGCATTTATTGTTTGTAGACTTTTTGATAGCAGCCATTCTGACTGGCGTGAGATGGTACCTCATTGTGGTTTTGATTTGCATTTCTCTGATAATGAGTGATGTGGAGCATCTTTTCATGTGTGTGTTAGCCGTTTATATGTCCTCTTTGGAGAAATGTCTCTTTAGTTCTTTGGCCCATTTTTGATTGGGTTGTTTATTTTTCTGGAATTGAGCTGCAGGAGCTGCTTGTATATTTTTTAGATTAATTCTTTGTCAGTTGCTTCATTTGCTATTATTTTCTCCCATTCTGAAGACTGTCTTTTCACCTTGCTTATAGTTTCCTTCATTGTGCAAAAGCTTTTAAGTTTAATTAGGTCCCATTTGTTTATTTTTGCTTTTATTTCCATTACTCTGGAAGGTGGGCCACAGAGGATCCTGCTGTGATTTATGTCAGTGTTTTGCCTATGTTTTCCTCTAGGAGTTTTATAGTTTCTGGTCTTACGTTTAGATCTTTAATCCATTTTGAGGTTATTTTTGTGTATGGTGTGAGAAAATGTTCTAGTTTCACTCTTTTACAAGTGGTTGACCAGTTTTCCCAGCACCACTTGTTAAAAGAGATTATCTTTTCTCCATTGTATATTCTTGCCTCCTTTGTCAAAGATAAGGTGTCCATAGTAGCGTGGATTTATCTTTGGGCTTTCTATTTTGTTCCATTGATCTATATTTCTGTCTTTGTGCCAGTACCATACTGTCTTGATGACTGTAGCTCTGTAGTATAGTTGGACTTCTCATTTAGAAACTTGCCCTGTGGAAACCCATGCAAAGAAGCTACAGGCAAACTACTGACTTAAAAGAAAATGTCTGCAAACCATGTATCTGACAAAGGGCCAGAATCTAGACTATATAAAGAACTTCCAAAACTCAATAGTAAAAACAAAACCAGTAAAAAAATGGGCATAGAAAATGAACATACATTTCACTGAAGAACATTGAAAGATGGCAAATAAGTGTGTGAAAGGATGTTAAAGGATGCATTTCCCTAAATTATAACCACCATGAGATAGTGCTACACAACTTTTCAGAATGGCTAAAATAAAAATTAGTGAAAAGTGACAGTACCAGATGTCAGTGAGGATGCGGGGAAATTGGTTTACTCATGCCTTGCTGCTGGGAATGTAAAAGCCACTTTGGGAAAACGTGTGTGTTGTTGTTCCTTATAAAACTAACCATAGAATTACCCTGTAATTACAGTATGATTCAGCAATTGCTTTCCTTATTGATCTTAGTGGAATGGAAGATCCACTCAGGGCACTGATCTTAGTGGAATGGAAACATGTTCTCACAAAAACCTGTAAACAAATGTACACAGCAACTTAAAAAAAATTTTTTTCTTATTGGAGCATAGTTGCTTTACACGGAGAAGGCAATGGCACCCCACTCCAGTACTCTTGCCTGGAAAATCCCATGGACGGAGGAGCCTGGTGGGCTGCAGCCCATGGGGTCGCGAAGAGTCGGACATGACTGAGCGACTTCACTTTCACTTTTCACTTTCATGCACTGGAGAAGGAAATGTCAACCCACGCCAGTGTTCTTGCCTGGAGAGTCCCAGGGACGGGGTCGCACAGAGTCGGACACGACTGAAGTGACTTAGCGGCAGCTTTACAATGCTGTGTTGGTTTCCGCTGTACACTGGATCAGCCCTGAGTACACTGTACCCCCTCTTTTGGCTTTCCTTTCTGCTGAGGTCACTGCTGAGTCGCGTTCCCTGTGCTATACAGCCACTTCTCATTACTTACCTGTTTTATACGTAGTATCAGTACTGCATATATGTCAGTCCCAATCTCCCAATTCATCCCTCGCCTCACTCCCTTGGTGTTCCATACCTTTGTTCTCTACATCTGTGTCTTTATTTCTGCTAATAGGTTCATCAGCAACTTTATTTGCCATATCCCCAAACCAGAAACAACCCACGTGTCCTTCAGCAGATTAACTGGCTAAACGAAGTGCAACAGGGGCCTGCTCAGTGGTAAAGAATAAACTGTTGGTTACTCGAAACAACCTGGGATCAGGGCATTTAGTTGTCTCCTGCTTTGGGCTTTGTGAATAAAGCAGCTGTGAACATTTGTGTGTACAGGTCTTTGTATAAACATATGTCTACTTGGGTAATTACCCATGAGTATAATTAATGTGTTACACAGGAGGTATATGTTAACTTCATAAGAAATGGCCAGTTTTCCAGAGTGATTGTAGCATTTTTTCATCCCCACCAGCAGGGTGTGAGAGTTCTAGTTGACCTACATCCTAGTCAACACTTGGTATTTTCACTTTTTAACTTTAGCCCTTCTGGTAAGTGTGCAATGGTGTTTCATCATGTTTTTCCCCTTCTAATTCTTCACTTGTTTGTTTGCAATTTTTGAAGTATAACTTATGTACAGTAAAATTCACCCTTTAAGTTCAGCATAGTTTTTTAAAGAGATAATATTTTTAATCATCAAGAAGTGAACTAGATAACCCAAGTTTTAATCCTTGATCAGTCACAGAAAACACTGACATATTCATTCCACCATCAAATAGTTGATTCAGCATCACAATTTAATGTTTGTTTTTAGTTCTGTTGGTTTGTTTTGTTTGCCCTTTTAATGTAGTGATTGGTTTTCCTTATATCTGCATGATTGGTTTTAAAACTATTGTGAATAATAAAGAAGTTCCATGATAAACATGAGGGGGAACTTCAGCTTGAGAGATAAATAGCAAACAGCTGTCTCAGGTTGGACAAACAAATGCTTAACCACCAGCGTAGGCAAGATAATAGACTCTCTCTATCGCCCCAGATATTCCCTCCTGCCCCTTTGAAGTTGGCTGGATCACATGTTCCATCTTCCGAAAGTCACTTACGTGCTTTGTGACCCTTTAGTTTTGTGATTCCTGGTTTGATTTGTATTTCCCTGATAACTAAAGATGCTATTTTATGTGCTCATTTTTTACTATTTATATGGCTGGGTCTTAGTTGCTGCATGTGACCTGTTAGTTGGGGCATATGGGATCTAGTTCCCCAACCAGGTATTGAACCTGGGTCCGCTGCATTGGGAGCAAGGAGTCCCAGCCACTGAACCAGCAGGGAAGTCCCTTATGTGCTCATTGACCAACCATTCAACTGTCTTTTGTGAATCCTTTTGCAAATCTTTTGCCTTTTTTTTTTTAAGTTGGCAACTCACCATCTTACTGAGTTGTAAGTGAGTTTGTTCTGTTTTGAATTTCTGGTTGGTGCAAGTCCTTTGTCAGATAATACATATTGCAAACATTTTTTCCCAGTCTGTGACCTGCCTTTTCATTTTCTTACTTGCCTTATGCAAAGAGCAAGCATTAAATATTTTTATTGTCCAGTTTGTCAAACTTTTCTTTTGGTTTTTGTGTCTTAGCTATTCTTTGCCCATCCCAGTATAGCAGAGATTTTCCTTTGTGTTCACTTCAAGTTTTAATAGCTGTAGCTCTTACATTTAGGTCTGTGATGCACTTTAGTGTGTGTGTTGGGAGTGAGGTAAGGGTTGACGGGCAGTTTCTGCCTATATGGATATCCAGTTGTTCCAGCACCATCTGTCAAGACAGGATTTGCTTTCCCCATTGAACTGCCGTGGCATAATATGATATCATTGTAGGGGGCTTGCTTTCTTGAAAATGGAAGTTACACTTTGATGTAAAGTATTAATTCACTTCCAGGCAACCCGATTCAGAATCCCGCTGTGATTCCAGATTTTACACAGGGGCTGCTGAGATGGGTGGCTTCAATTCCTTTAGCTGGTTTTCTTAAAAACTAACGACATTGCTGTTTCCACCGCCTGCACTTACCAGAAGCTGGCAAAGCTTCCCGCCAGTGGGCTTGGTGTGCATGTGACCGACCAGGACGGCGCCTCCCCGCTGCACGTTGCTGCCCTGCACGGCCGGGCGGACCTCGTCCTCCTCCTCGTGAAGCACGGCGCCAGCGTGGGGGCCCGCGACGCCAGCCAGGCTGTCCCACTCCACCTGGCCTGCCAGCAGGGCCACTTCCAGGTACTGGTGCTGACGCTCGGGCAGCATGGACGGGGTCAGAACTCACCTGATCGGGATACTGCAGAGCGGGAAGGTGGCTGTCCGAAGGGACGGGCCCATGTCCTTCCTCCCAGCCCTGAGATTCTGAGAGGCACAGGGCAGGGCCGCTCAGCAACAGAACACACAACCCTGGTGCTTTTGGGGTGGAGCCAACCCCCATCCCATCTGGCCCCACAGAGCCTGTCCTGATTCTCACCCCCGCCGGGAACTGCCCCTCTCTTATTCTCAGGCTTTGGTCATCAAGGGCTGAAGTGTGTCTGACCACTTCTGTGTTCTCCCAGCTCCTGTCTTGTGCCAGTTAGTTTAATATCTATTTATTTTTTTCATCTTCCCTTATTAGTTCTACTGTAAGCTTATTAAAGACAGGAATCATATTTCAGGTAATGCCTAGCATCAGCTTCCTAACATGTAAAACTAGAATAGTTATTGCAACTCTGCACAGAGGACATATAATGATGCAATGACAAACATTGGTGCCTGGCACATGCCTGGCCTGCAGGAGACCCTGAGCACAGGTTAACCCCTCGTGCTTCAGCTGGTCTGCTTTCTCCTGAGGGTCAGACATGTGTCTAAAGAGCTCTCTGGATAAACCTACAGAAAAGTCAAAAGAATATCAAGTTAGAGGATCTCTCCCTGCAAATGTTCAATTTTTCTTCTCTGGGCTAGGTGGTGAAGTGCCTATTAGAGTCGAATGCAAAACCCAATAAAAAGGACATAAGTGGAAACACACCCCTCATTTATGCCAGTTCCAGAGGCCACCATGAAGTTGCAGCGCTGCTGTTGCAGGTAAGGCCCCCGCCACCCCTGCCCCCACCCCGGCCCAGGGGCTGCTGACGTGGGTCAGCACGCAGGGAGCCCCTGGCAGTGCCCTGGGGTGGCAGCAGGGCTCGTGATGTAAGCGGGCCCTGGGAGAGGAGCTCTGGAATCAGGGGCCTCGGAGTCAGCACTGCATCAGAGATGCAGGGTTAAGGACCGAGACACTGCTTTTCCTGGAGGTTTGGGTCTTGCCTCATTTACCAGGTCAGTTGAATCATTGCCTGAAATGTGAGCTGAATGTCTTTTGTCACTGCTACTTTTTTTCCCTCTCTTGATGAAGGTTTTGTGTTGACTGTAGAAGGAAGAATTTTTAAAAGTAGGGAAAAACTTTCCATAACCCTGTTACTCAAGGCTAACTATTTTGGTTGACTTTTAAAAATGTGCACAGTTTAGATCAGTGTTGTTTTCTATCTTGGTTTTTTTTTATTGCACTGCATGGCATGTGAACTTCCTGGACCAGGGATCAAACCCGAGCCCCTGCAGCGGAAGCACAGTCTTAATCCCTGGACTACTAGGGAGGTGCTCTTGTTTGTTTTAACTTAACGTAGAAAACTGTTTATTAAAAATCTGAATTTTTTTAATGGTTGCATAATTATGGATGTACTGTAGTTTCCTTTTTTTAAACTTTTTCTGCTTAATACATTTAGGTGACTTCTATTTTTTTCCCCTGCTGTTTAATAAATGCTGCCATGAATATCTTTGTACATAAATTTGTTTTCCTCAGTATTACTTTTACCCCTAACATTTTAAGACAAATTTCAGACATACAGAAAAGTTGAAGGAAGGTTATAGTGTATACCCATATAGCTACCACATCAATTCAGCGTGGGTCATTTTTAGCATTGCTCTTGACTGTACTGTTTTTCTTTCTAGCATGGGGCCTCCATCAATGCTTCCAACAACAAGGGCAACACAGCACTGCATGAGGCTGTGATAGAAAGGCACGTCTTCGTGGTGGAGCTGCTACTGCTTCATGGAGCATCGGTTCAAGTCCTGAATAAGAGGCAGTGCACAGCGATCGACTGTGCTGAACAGGTAGGTGGGAGCACTTCCTTGCTGAGGGCATCCCGAGCTCCCTTACAGCTCACGTGGATCCCCCATGTTGAAGCCAGATCTGAGAGAGCAGTAACCAGACCTCTGACTCACTGAGCCAGGCTGAATTAGCACGCTAGAGTCGGCCAGTGTGGCTACACCCCTGGTCCCTGGTCATCTGGTCAGAGGTGGCCTGCTGGGGAGACAGCAGTAGTTTTCTTTTTTTGCCATGCTGCATGCCACATGTGGGATCTCAGTTCCTCAACCAGGGATCAACCCCATGCCTCCTGCGTTGGAAGCACAAAGTCTTAACCACTGGACAGCCAGGGAAGTCCCCAGGGGTAGTTTTCAAAGGCCCGAGTAGAGATGCCTCCCACCCACTGCAGGCCTGGGTGCCCTGGCCTGGCCCACCGTCGGGCAGTCAGGTGCCTGGGGGAAGCAGCAGGATGAGACAATGTCCTGGTCTCGCGCTTCTGGCCCTGGGAACCCATCACAGTCGTAGCAGCACAAGGGAGAAAGTGTGTGCAGTCCGTGAGCACACCTTGAGTTCAGTGAGGAGCGGTTTACCACCCTCCCAGCGGTGGATGTGCACTGTGGGAAATGGTCAGGGAACAGTCTGCTCCTCCTGGGGAAGAGGCACCTCTTCACTGGTCCTCTGTTCCCGTTGAATCTTTATATAGTTTCCTACTCAGGTAGACAACCGGCAGGCTGTTGAACTGCACCACTGACACTTTTAAGTCACCATAATACTAACCTACTCATGTTGTTGTTGTTGATTTGCTAAGTCATATCCAACTCTTTGCGACCCCATGGACTACAGCATACCGAGCCTGCTGCAGTCCCAGCATCAACTCACCATCTCCCAGACTTCCCCCAAGTCCACATCCATTGAGTCGGTGATGCCATCCAGCCATCTCATCCTCTGCTGCCCTCTTCTCCTTTTGCCTTCAATCTTTCCCAGCATCAGGGTCTTTTCCATGAGTTGTCTGTTTGCATCAGGTGGCTACAGCATAGGCTGAGTTTATTTACTTAGTATATTGCATCAGGTCGCCAAAGTATAGGCTGGGTATATTTATTTGGTATATTCAGTGTAGTTTGTAGCATATTCATTTCTAATTTTCAGTTGTATTTCTTAACAGAATTGACATATTTTAAACATTCAATTTTGGAGAAGGCAATGGCACCCCACTCCAGTACTCTTGCCTGGAAAATCCCATGGACGGAGGAGCCTGGTGGGCTGCAGTCCATGGTGTCGCGAAGAGTCGGACACAACTGAGCGACTTCACTTTCACTTTTCACTTTCATGCATTGGAGAAGGAAATGGCAACCCACTCCAGTGTTCTTGTCTGGAGAATCCCAGGGACGGCAGAGCCTGGTAGGCTGTTGTCTATGGGGTCACATAGAGTCGGACACGACTGACGTGACTTAGCAGCAGTAGCAGTAGCAGCAAACATTCAATTTAGCACTTCCTCAAGTGATGATATGGAGAAGGAAATGGCAACCCACTCCAGTGTTCTTGCCTGGAGAATCCTGGAAACGGGGGAGCCTGGTGGGCTGACGTCTGTGGGGTCACACAGAGTCGGACACGACTGAAGTGACTTAGCAGCAGCAGCAAATGATGATAATGATGAATATCTTTTATTGAGTACTTCTATGTGTTGGGCGCTCGATAACCTCACAGTAACTCTATGGTAACAGATCCTATTCTCATCAACCCAGTTGCACAGAGCAGTGAAATATGGGCCCAAAGCACTAGTACAGGGCAGAGCCGGCCACCAAATGCAGGGCTGTTCTCCACCACTTTATGGCCTCCAAGTTTTGTCTGTAGTGTCTTCTTAGCTTTTCTGCCCAACAATGCCAGCATTGACACTTAGATTAAAAACAGGCAATAAACTCCTAAGAAAGAATTAAAAAACCCTGTCACTGTTACCTTTTCCTTTTCAACTTACAGAATTCAAAAATAATGGAATTGCTTCAAGTTGTACCAAGCTGTGTGGCCACATTAGACGACATTGGTGAAACAGACCACAGCGACTACGTCACTGTTAAGATCAGGAAAAAATGTAAGAACTCACATTCTTTCTGGAATTCTCAGCTTGAGTTTATTTGGAAATTCATGAGTGGTTGCCAATTTTCACCTAACTATAAATGTAAAATGTAATTATAATCATGACTGGGGGTGGGATTATAGGCACCAAAGAAATGTATGTTATAGCCTGTTTCATCGACTTTTTTGGATACTGGCTTGCCGGTCGATGGCAGTGCTTCCTAAGGAGGTGAGGAGGACACTTGTAGGCCTTACCCTGAAGGTCAGGCCCCCACTCCCCAGCTGTGGAGGAGGCCTTGCCTCTGGTAGTTCCGGTCATGTCTCGAGTTCTAAATCCAAGCCTTTTTCTAAGCACTTCCTGGACATGTGGGATAAATGCTACCTTTAAATATTTTTTTAAAAAATGAAGTAGTGCTATTTGCAGCAACATGGATAGACCTAGAGATCGTCATTCTGAGTCAGAAAGAGAAGGAGAAATATCGTATGACATCCCTTTATGTGGAATCGAAAAAGAAATGATACAAATGAACTTCCAAAACAGAAAGGGACTCAGAGAAGGAACTTATGGTTGCTGGCAGAGGGGAAGGATGGGAGGAAGGGATAGTTAGGCAGTTTCAGATGGACAGGTTCACACTGGTATATTTAAAATGAATAAGCAACAAGGACCTACTGTATAGCACAGGGAACTCTGCTTAGTGTTTTGTGACAGCCTGGATGGGAGGCCAGTTTGGGGGAGAATGGATACATCTATATATATAGCTGAGTCCCTTCGCTCACCTGAAACTACCACAACATTTAATCGGCTACACCCAAATATAAAAGTTTAAATGTTTTAAAAAAAAAAGGTTTCTTTTTTAATTTGCAGGTGTGTAGAGGTTGATGGTGATTAGAACAGCAGCTGCCAAACAGGGGTGGGGCCGAAGTATTTTCTTATTCTAATAAAAAAGCTGTTATAGATGGGGGTCCTTGTTCAACTTTTTAAAAATTATTGTTGTAGTTTGAAGTGTAATAATCTGGGTAATCCTGAGGCTGTCTCATCCTAACTGGTTGTGCCTGGGGAGTATCGGGTATTAAAGGTTTATTTTTGTTTCATGGGGGTTCACACAGTAATAGACAGGAATCTACTAACACGTCTCTGTAAGCAAATGAAATCCTTAATTTCCTACATGTTGTTAAACTTTAACCAAAAGAAATGTTGGAGGTTTGCGTCTGTGCTATAATTTCTAAACAACTGTTAAAACTACCTTGGACGTTTTCAGATGTTTATCCTTTTATCTACAGGGAATTCAAAAATGTATAATCTACCAGATGAACCTTTTACCAGACAGTTTTACTTTGTCCACTCCGTTGGTCCATTTAAGTGAGTATAAAATTCAAGTTGATTTCTGTGCTTTTGACCTTAATTTTACTTAAAACTCCAGCAGCTCATTTGCAGCTTTAATGCATATAAAAAAAAAAATCTGCACTCATCAAATGCTGCCACCTCGTGGCCAACCAGAATGTTTTGCACCACTATCCCAAACATTTATTTTAGTTTGTTTTGGGTTTCAGGGCAAGGACTTCAAAGGAGATTATGGCACGAGATAGAAGTGTCCCTAATCTCACTGAAGATTCTTTGCATGAGGTGAGTTATTAAACACTGTTTATACCATTATTTTTTTGATCCTAGATTTTTCAAAACTAATCCTTGGAAAACACATTTTTTATTTCAGTAGTCTCATCACTGTTAAGAGTTACAAACAAAATGAGTTTGGTGGCATGATTAAATATTGTTAAATTTAACAATGCATTTCTGAGGGGAGAAAGGAAAGTGAGGAAAAGTGGCAGACAGTTGTGGCACATGGAAAGATCCTGCAGTTCATAACATGCATACTAGGTGAACCATCTCAGATTTTACTGTGTAAGCTAATTAATTCACTAACATGTTAATCACTAATGTAAGGAAGAAAACACATCTGTATATAGATAGTTAAAAACCTTGGCAGGATGGTATAATGTTGCTCATATAGTCAATTTTGTTTGTGGCCATCTTCCTACAGCACTATTTAATACTCATTATAAAAAGAAGCCTGCGTTCCTTTCTGTGGTGCTATTAGGTGGCTCTTCTCAGAAAACATGACTTTTCTTTTTTTAATTGAAGTATAGTTGATTTCCATTGTTTGTTTCTAGTGTACAGCACAGTGATTCAGTTTTTCGTATATACATACATAATATTCTTTTTCAGATTCTTTTCCATTATAGTTTATTACAAGATACTGAATATATTTCCCTGTGCTATACAGTAGGGCATTACTGAAACATGACTGTTCTTATTGCTGCTCATCAATGCCTTATTTGAGAAATAGAATTTATAGTATGTGTGGCAATAGGCTTGCTAGAACAAATATACTACAGTTCTAAATCTTTTAGCAAATTAAAGTGATTTTTTAAATATGACTGATTTTGATTTCATAGTTAATCTTCCCTGGCTTTGTTAACAGATCTGCTTCTAGGTGAAAAACCTGCAAACTTTGAAATATGCCTGGGTTCAAGTGCTAGCTTTCCCCTTGCTGGCTGGGGGACTTAAGGCAGATTGCTTAACTTTGCTGATCCTATTTCCTCAGCTGTATGCAAAATGGGGATGACAACAGTACACATTTGTTAGCATTGTAAAGATTAAATGTGAAAACATGTAAACATGTTTACACTGTGTCTGACATGTGGAGTACGCACAGGTCACACTTTCACTGCGGGGATGTTAAGAGTTGAAATTATGCCTGCAAAGTACTTAGCACACTGATGACACCTCAAGAAGCGCTCAAGGATAGCTATTACTGTGCTGGTTGTTTTAAAGTACAGTGCAAATGCGAAGTGTTTGAATTGTACCTTTTCTTCAGCCAGGGAGACAGAGAGTCACACAGAAGCACAAGAACCTGCCAGACCAGGGCAGGTCTGAGACCACTGACAAAGGAAACGATCAGCCGGAGAGGCCTGGACCGAGGCAAACTGCTCCCAGAAACAGGCGAATGCTCCGTAGACACACAGTCGACGATACAGTTGTACCCAAGGGCCCAGAGACTGCTGGCAACCTGACCACTCCCCAAGAGGCTAGCATTTCCCAGTCTTAACAGTAATAAGGAGGCATTATCTACTGCCAAGAAGCAAGTCCTCAACACGAAGATGCTGCGCATGAATACAACTTAGCACTAAATGAAATTTGTTTGGCTTGAGAGAAAAGCAGAAAGGTCCTGAAAGCTTTTCTGTGGCTGACAGAAAGAACACAACAGAAGGTCATCACTATCTCGTTCCTCTTCAGAGGTAATGGATACACTTGAAAAGGGATGGACAAAAATTTCAGTGGTGTCCAGATCTTTAAGACGTTTAAGTATTTGGGTTCCTGGGTTACAGTGAGAGGTTTCATCACCAGATTCTGACCTCCTTCTACTGAAAGGTGCTAAACCTTTGTGATGTGTATGAACTAGCAAACCCACAGGCTAAATGAACTCCTCCCTCTGGGATAAGCTCAAGAGAAGCAATTTAGGTTTCACTGTACTGTGGAGGCTGGGCAGAAATATGGCATTTGAATAAAGAGAACAGGGCTGAAAAATGCCCCCTTTAAGCAACACTTGAACCCAAAGATGCCTAAATGCCATTTTGATTGCTCATTTTAGTTCAAAGGACACATATGACATGTTCTACACTATGTATGTGGGGAAAGCTGGGTATACTTTTTCTTCCAACAGAGTACAGATAATTGACCACTGCACTTATACACCTGTAGCAGTGTCTCTAGAAACATCCCTTACCATTAAGAGACCCCCTAAACGTCACACCGGATGGATGGTTACTTAATTGGAGAGTAGACTTGGCACATCTTCTCTTAGTCTTTTGATTCAGATTCAAAACTTACAGCACAAACCAGGTCAAAGTAACTTTACGTTAGAATTTATTGCCATTTATTCCTTTTTATAAATTTCTATAGATTATATTTCTTATTTTTTTATGTTACTAATTAGTCTAGAGCTGCAAACATGGGTTTGTCCGGAGCACATTTTCAAATAACTTTGTAATAGGGAAATGGTTTTGTGCACGTTCTTGGAAATACTTGTGTATGTACAGAAGGGAGGGGCTGATTATTTTTCTATAAAGTAATTTATGATTTTTAATTTTCTAATGTGCCTTGGATATGTGCCAAATGATGGGAAAGAAACAGTAAACTTTATGATTCTTGAGTGTGTCATGGTGTACTTTTTTTAGTTTGTTCTCTCATGGTGGTATGTTTCTCAGCCTTGCTGCTACAAACATGTGCTTGGTATGTGGAATCATCTTCTCCCACTGGATAGACAGACATTTTATTTTTCAGCTAGAGATAGAAGTGTGACTGAAACGTGTGAACTGGGTTATTTGGAACAGATTATCCAGGGCTGCTGACCTAGTCCAGTCAGCACAGTGCCTAGGGCCCCCACAAAGGTATTTTCATTTCTTTTAGCATCAGAAGAACAAACTGAATATAATACAGCTACTTAGCCCAAACAGCAAATAAGCACGGTTGCTTTAGAAGTTTCTTCAGTTTTTCCTCCTCAGCCCCACTTTTAAACAAAACCACCTTATTGGCTTAAGTTGCTGTGCTTTTCTAGCATCCTGATTAAGAGACTTGGCACTGCAGTTTTTTAGCACAGTCCTGTCCAAGATACAGTACATACATTTTAAACCACCTAATTTTGGGGGTGGTACAATAGTTTTGAAAACCTACCGTGAACCTATTTGCAGGGCAGGAAGAGAGATGCAGGTGTAAAAGAATGGACTTGTAGACCTGGCACAGGGGGAGAGGCTGGGACTAATTGGGAAGGTAGTGCTGAAATATGCACTACCGTGTGTAAAATATATATACCTAGTGGGAAGCTGCTCAGCTCAGTAATGACCTAGAGAGCTGAGGGGGGCCGCGGGAGAGCGCCTCATGAGGGAGGAGATATATGTACACAGACAGTTGATTCGCTGTGTTGTGTAGCAGAAACACAACATTGTAAAGCACCCATACTGTGATTAAAAAAAAAAAAGAAATATTAAAAAAGCCAAACTTTCACATGTACCCTCCATCATTCTAATAACTGCCCTAGCTGGTAGGAATGTCAAGTGAGGAGGTTTACGGAAGTAAGGGGGATAATTTGCTTACACGGTCAGAGCTGGGGTCAGAGCCCGGCTGGCAGAGGCACCTGTTTCCAGCTGGGTGTTCCCTTCACTTGGAAACAGAAATACCACGAAGGGGACTCTCAGTCCTGGGGAACAAGTTTCCTCTCGAGCTATTCTGGTAACCAGCAGGGTGAGCAATCTGATGCAACACCTCAATTATTTTCAAAAACACATGTGTTTCTAATTATTTTCTCAATTAAAACTAAATTTGGAGCCGTGATGTATCACCGCCGAGCTCCAAGTCATTTTTAGTGTTGGGAAGTGTTTTTCTTTATACAACAAGATTGTCCATTATATTGATTGAGAGGAGAAAATGTTACCCTGGGGAAATAATTGGGTGGGCCTTGATTTTGGAGAGTTTCTATATTCCAAGGATACAATAAAATTTTAAATTGTATTTGAAGGAGTTAATAATTTAAGAATACATAAATAAATAAATAAAACTAAATTTGACAATTCAGAAATTGGTAATGACAAAATTCCTATTTTTGTAGGAGAATGTTTTGAATTCAGAGTATTGTCAGTTAGATCAGAAAGGTGAGAATAACCAGCCCCCACCCCCCAATGTCATCAAGAATTTCTGTCCTCAGTCACTGCATTCTCGAGTGTCTCTGAATGGGGGGAGGTTTACAGTCCTTCAACACATTGACCTCAACAGCTGCCGTAACAGTGGTTATTTTGTAAGAGAAAGCATGTAGCAGACTTGCTCAGAGTTGTCTAGTCTCCCAGTGTTTCTATGTAAAATTTACCTGTTAACTGGGGTTATTTTTCAAAACCCTTGATCAGATTTTACTGTGGTGTTTTACTCTTCCTCTGAGCTTTCTGACGTCCTTAGTGGCTCTACTCATTTGTTTACTCAGGAATACTAGACTATATTCTAACACTGACTTCACTAAATTTTAAGTCTGAAATATTATAAAATCTCAAGTATAATTTAGAAATATATCAGCAGTGTGTATACCTCTAGCTAGAGACTGGGACTATAAATCACATTTTCCATCACTTTGCCTGCTATTAATCCTACTGAGCTCATTAAATGTTATGCACTTCCTCTGGAGCTGGGACCCCCAGGACTAAGATAAAAGTTACACCAAACAGCTCACTTGAGAGTCAAGTTTATGATTTTAAGTTACAAGCACCGTTTTTCATAACCTGGTGGGAATAAAGGAAAAAAGATGACACTTGATTTAAGTTACCTGCAACCCTATCAGTGAAGACCCAGAACATTTCTGCCACAATGGTGAACTGCTAAACTGTCTCAACTGGACTTTAATCATTAAAAATCATTTCTCTTAAAAACATGTTTACTAGGGTTTAATATTATTACCAGTATGTCTGTTATTTTGTTAATTTTTTTCCAATGGACATATCCTCCAGTTACAGAGGTGGTAAGGGTAATATTTGTTAGATGAGTTAATGCTTTGAAAAGCAGATTATAAATGAAATCAAAGTTAGAAATTTTCCTATATTAAATGTAAGGGCTATCTGCAGGAAGAAAAAGGTCTTACCTGCTTTCAGAACCTATGTCTTGGAAATACTAAAACTACTCAGCTTAATCCATGAGTCTTAACACCTATGATGTGACAGACGCTGCTATTTTCTTCTCACTGAAGATGTTGAAGCAGCTCCTACTTCTGCTAAGGTCATTTTCCCACTTAACACTAATGTCACAAGTATGAAGGATATATTCATGCTGCTACACATGTTCAAAAGCTTTTGACAGGAAAGGACAAAAATTTAAAAATGCAGATCTTCTGCTCATTTCTCTACGGCAGAAAAACTTTGTCCAAATTGTTCTAGTTTGCATAACAAGTTTATTTTTAAAAGGTATATAGACAATAAACAAAGTAAACACACCACAGATCTTAACGTCTGCCAAGTATTATCTGTCCTACAGTTATTTCGTTAAGTTCCAGTCTCTAGACAAATTCAGTAATCGTCATCTTCATCAGAGTCCATTACTTTTCTTCTGTTGAACTGGGGGGAGAATTAAACAAGTATCATGTTTCATAAAACATAACTCAGATTTTCTGAGAAAACAAATTCCTACCTACTACAGAAAAGACATTTCTGTGTTTAAAATAACTTAAGTGTTTTAGACCAACAGAAGAGGCTTGAAAATTAGACCTTCAATGTATGCAACTTTCTCCCCAAACTTCCCTGTGTTGTAAAACAAAAATGTCTATGGGCTAAAATGTTTGACACGCTACATGCAGATGTAACACTTATTTAAAATATCACTCTTTCTTTTGTCGTATGCTTTGGGGGAAACTTACTTTAACTGTTGTTTTCTTTTCTGTTTGTTGGCTTACTTTTTCGAGGATTTCTATTAAACCTTGTTCTGATACCTAGATAATCAAAGAGAAAAACAGTGCTTTTTTAAAACAAAGAATTGACCTTAGCCGACTGAATCGTTTCAGTCCTTCCAGGGTGTGGAGGTAGAGGTCAAGAAGGAAGCAGAATGGGACAGCTGGCTGAAACCACTGGCTATAATTCTCGGTTTAAGTTGCACTTAAAATCTGCTCTGCTCGTCTTCATTTGAGGGAGGAAAAGTATCCATCAGTTAGCTTCCTCGAAAAATCCAAGGTTAACAGCTATTTAAGAACCCCTTCATTACACTAGCAGACAATGACAACCACCTACATCACTGTGCTAAGTGAAAGGGACAGATACTCCGCCTCTGCACCGAGACCTTGAGAAGCTGAAAGCAGGAGACGAGTCACTCAAAAAAATAAAGCCGCTGTCACCCGTCCACACACATTCTCAGTGTAAAGGGTTCAGGGCAGGTTGATCTCTGCAGGCTGTGATGGTGGCAGAGGGCTCCCCAGGATCTTGAACGAAGAACAGGGTTGCCAGAAAATATCCTCCATGGCAATACAGCAATGCACAGAATAACCAGGAAATTTAGCACTTCTTCATTTGCAAAACAAGCATAACTTTCCCAATTTTAATTAGTATTGCTGACAAACCTTGTTTCCACTGTAGAAGCAATTTAGGCTATCTGACCCTAATAGTCACTGGTTCCAGAGCGATGTCAGAAAAGGAAAGCAGCAGAGGATTTTAGAAAAGAGGGTATCTTTTAGGATCTACGGTAGACACAACTATTCTCTCCTTTAAAAACTGCTTCAACAAGAATTCTGTAACCAGAAAGAGATGAAACTGACCTTCTGAGGATACATTTTGATAAAGCAGGTAACAACAGATTAAAACTGCAAGCTTACCTTCCCACTTAGTTGTCCATACCGTGCCATCTGAATAAGGTAATTTTCTACCGCTTTAGTTTTCTCAGGCTTTACAAGTGCTAAGTTACTTACTAAAAAGAAGAAAAAAAAAATAACATATATATATATATATATAAACACACACACACAAATATGCACAAAAAGAAGTCAGAACTAAATGCACTTGACTAAATGCACTTATTCCTTGAGACTAAATAGTAACATTTCTAAAGCACTTAAGACTTATTCATGTCTTGAGACCAGCAAGGTAGATAAGGCAGATGCTATTGTTACTCTTAAAAATGAGGAAACTATAGTTCAGCTTTGTCAACCTTAGTCAAGACCACAGAGAGGTAGTGGTGAACCAAGATTAAACTCGGGGACTCAGATTCTAAGCTCCATGCTTTAAAAACAAAGCAAAACCATGACCGTTCCATGAAGAGCAACTTCTATATTGCAGGCATGCATGCTAAGTCGCTTCAGTCATGTCCAACTCTTTGCGACCCCATGGACTCAGGCTCCCCTGTCCATGGGATTCTCCAGGCAAGAATACTGGAGTGGGCTGCCATTTCCTCCTCCAGGGGATTTTCCTGACCCAGGGATCGAACCTGCATTTCCTGTGGATCCTGCATTGCAGGCGGATTCTTTACCGCTTGAGCCACCAGGGAAACCCTCAAAAAAGCAACCCGTCCTTGTGAATTTCTGTATTACTATGCATATATAATCATGGTGAGCCACCCAGGGCTGCCTCTTCTAAGCTGGGCTTCAAGTTATAATACAGAAGATAATGTTTCATTCTGATCGGCTCATTTAACTTTTTTTCTTACGGTTTTCTTTTTATTTTTTGCGATGAAAAACACAACACAAATGGAGAATACAGGTATACCTCATTTTACTGAGCTTCATAGATACAGCAGTTTCCACAAATGGAGGTCTGTGGCATCCTACATCCCTGCTTTGAGCAAGTCTACTGGCACTGTTTTCCTGACAGTATGTGCTCACTTCATGTCTTTGTGTCACATTTTGGTAATTTTCACAACATTTCAAACTTTCTATTGTTATTCTTATATATATTATGGTGATCTGTAATCAATGATCTTTGATGTTATTATTGAAAAACAAAAATCGTGACTTGCTGAGGACTCAGATGATGATTAGCATTTTTTAGCAATAAGGTATTTTTAAATTAAGGTATGTATACTTTTTTTTTTAAAAGACATAATGCTTTTGAACTTAACAGACTATACAACTTTTATATGCACTGGAAAGCCAAAAAATTTGTATGACTTGCTTACTGTGGTGGTCTGCAACCAAAGCCAAATATCTCCACGATCTGCCTGGACAATAAACCAGAGCCCCCATCACCTGAGTCAACTGCTAGCAGTATTTTGTGACTGACTTGATTGAAGAGTTATTTCCAATAAATTTTACCAAATACAGTCGTCCTGTGGAATCTGAAAGGACTAGTTCTAGGACTCCCTGCAGATGCCAAAATCTGAAGATGCTCAGGTCCCTTATATAAAATGGTGTACTACCATCAGTCCTCTGTATCTGTGGGTTCTGATTCTATAAAAATGGAGGGCTCACTACATGCACTTGGAGATCATTTCAATAGCAGGAGAGAATGGAGCTGGAACTTTTAATAACAACTTAAGTATGTTTCTTTAGGTTTATAAACCTAACACTTCTTACAAATAATCTGTATCTCACATGCTTTTAGGTTAAACAAGTATTTAATCTAGGGGCAGCAATTATTTCATATACATTTCCCTATTCAAGTAACTCAAGCCAGTTTTATAAAGAAAGCTGAAGATGCTTACACCTGGCCCGGGCTGACTGATCCAGAACTTGGGCTAAGATACTGTTTCTCATTTCTGCTTCCCTACAACAAAAACAGGACAAGCAAAATTAGAATCAAGCTGCCAGCATTCCTACTAAACACAGAAAGATACAACAAGTCCATTCTTACTCAAAAGCCAGTTTTATATTTTGTGAGTTTCAAAGATAAAACTTCACAGTTTCCCAATTCAGAAGGGAGTTTCAGTTCAACCACCATTATAGACATTTATTAAGAACCCAGTGTGTGAGAAGGGCTAGAAATTAGTAGTGAGATTTCAGGCAAATACACAGACAAATGATTAATCCGTGTAATTTTCTTAGAGATAAAGAAGCTGAGGTTCATGGAGACCATGTTAAGGAGACACAGGTAACTGTGGCCAAGGTATGAACAGATTCCACGTTTTAAGATTCTCAGTTCTAGTTTTGGGTTGGGAGGGGACTTACAATTACACCTGTTTCTATCCTTGCACCTTCCCACCTATCCAGGCAGGAACTACTTAGTATTCACAGGACAGTGATTTCAAATTTTTTTAAAGCAGATAGTTTTTCAAATGAAGCCCTTCAAGGAACTTAATATGAACTTAACACAGAAAAAAGCAGAGATTCTTTGGCTGAATTAGAAAGCTGAATCCTCTGTACAAGGGAAACAAGAAATAAAACACTATGCAGAAAGCAAAGTGTGCATTCATCAATCTCAGCCCTGAGGGGAGAAAGAAAAAAAAGTGTCTCTTGACTTCAAGCTTTAGCCTTGTAGGTTTGCTGTCTGAATTCCTTCTGGTAGCAGGGTAGAGGCAGGGAAAGAACATCAAGCAGAGAATTGTAAGAGGTCTAAGGTTAGAAAAGCCTTTGACTGTGTGGATCACAATAAACTGTGGAAAATTCTGAAAGAGATGGGAATACCAGACCACCTGACCTGCCTCTTGAGAAACCTATATGCAGGTCAGGAAGCAACAGTTAGAACTGGACATGGAACAACAGGCTGGTTCCAAAAAGGAGAAGGAGTACGTCAAGGCTGTATATTGTCACCCTGCTTATTTAACTTATATGCAGAGTACATCAGGAGAAATGCTGGGCTGGATGAAGCACAAGCTGGAATCAAGATTGCCGGGAGAAATATCAATAACCTCAGATATGCAGATGACACCACCCTTATGGCAGAGAGTGAAGAACTCAAAAGCCTCTTGATGCAAGTGAAAGAGGAAAGTGAAAAAGTTGGCTTAAAGCTTAACATTCAGAAAACTAAGATCATGGCATCTGGTCCCATCACCTCATGGGAAATAGATGGGGAGATAGTGGAAACAGTATCAGACTTCATTTTTTGGGGCTCCAAAATCACTGTAGATGGTGATTGCAGCCATGAAATTAAAAGACGCTTACTCCTTGGAAGGAAAGCTATGACCAACCTAGATAGCATATTAAAAAACAGAGACATTTCTTTGCCAACAAAGGTCCATCTGGTCAAGGCAATGGTTTTTCCAGTAGTCATGTATGGATGTGAGAGTTGGATTGTGAAGAAAGCTGAGCACCGAAAAATTGATGCTTTTGAACTGTGGTGTTGGAGAAGACTCTTGAGAGTCCCTTGGACTGCAAGGAGATCCAACCAATCCATCCTATAGGAGATCAGTCCTGGGTGTTCATTGGAAGGACTGATGCTGAAGCTGAAACTCCAATACTTTGGTCACTTCATGCGAAGAGTTGACTCATTAGAAAAGACCCTGATGCTAGGAGGGATTGGCGGCAGGAGGAGAAGGGGATGACAGAGGATGAGACGGCTAGGTGGCATCACCGACTCAACAGGCATGAGTCTGAGTAAACTCCAGGAGTTGGTGATGGACAGGGGGGCCTGGCATGCTGTGGTTCATGGGGTCGCAAAGAGTCGGACACGACTGAGCGACTGAACTGAACTGAAGGTTAGAAATGACCCAAGTGATGGCAGAAGTAAAGGAAAATCCTCTTTGCAAGAATCCAGAAGAAGAGTGATCAATTATGCGACATCTGAATTTCAGATATATTAAAATGTGAAAAAAATTCACATCTTCAGAATCAGTGAAGTTCATGTAGTAGATTTATTTTCTTCTTAGCACTATCCCAGGTGCTTACCAATCTGTCTTTCCCTCTAACGTGAGCTACATACAGAAGGGAAGGAACCGTCTCCATCTTGCATATTTCTATCGACACAGCACAATGCCTGACCCAGAGCAGGTGCTCAGTAAGTATTTGATGGATCAATCAATGAGTTAAAAGGGAGCATGGGGGACTTCCCTGGCAGTCCAGTGGTTAAGACTCTGCACTTACTTCGCAGGAGGCATGAGTTCCACCCCTGGCTGGGGAACTACAATCACACATGCTGTGTGTGTGCTGTGCCAGGCGAAAAATAAAAGGTAGCTTGGGGGCAGTGAGGGGTAGGGAGTTGTTTAACAGGTATACTTCCAGTTTTGTAAGATGAAAAAGTTTTAGATATGTGTTGTAAAGCAATGAGAATACAGTTAATACGACTGAATGATACACTCAGAAGTAGTTAAGAAGGTAAATTTTACCTTTTGTGTTTTTTACCAGTTAGGGAAAAAAGGTAGCATGATGGGGTAACTAATAAACCTGCCAAGTGTGAGGTGCTCTGCCACGTGATGAGATAAAATAACTTTGAGAATAGGAAAAACAGTTAATATTTCTTGTGCATATGTGCTCAGTCACTTCAGTCGCCTCCAACTCTTTGCGACTCTATGGACTGTAGCCTGCCAGGCTCCTCTGTCCATGGGATTGTTCAGGCAAGAATCCTGGAGTGGGCTGCATGCCCTCTGTATCCCTGCAATCCTCACAACACCCCTATGAGGTAGTCCTATTATTATGCTTATTTTAAGGTAGTCACAGTTGAGCAGAGAAACATCAATCAGTAATTGCAATACAAAGTAGTAAATAGCGATGGGTCTGGAAAAATCGCTATGCCAGGAAGAACTTTAAGATTCACACACCTATGAATATAACTAAAATTAAAAAGAAAAACAGGTGAAACCACCCTTCAAAGAATTCAGAGTTCCCACAGACATAGAGAACAGAGCAGGAGGTTAGTGGCAGAGCAGGAGGTGGGCAAAGTGGGTGAAGGCTGTCAAAAGTACAAACTTCCAGTTATAAATAAGCCATGGGATGTAATATGTAATATATAGAGTGGGTGGTGAATATACTTAAAGAGTATTGAATTGTATATAGTTAACAGTATTGAAAGTTGCTGAGAGTAAATCTTAAAAGTTCTGATCACAAGAAAAAAAATTTTTAATTATGTGTGGTGATGGATGTTAACCACTTACTCCGGTAGTCACTTCACAATATAAACAAGTATGGAATCAGTATGCTGTACACCGGAGACTAATGTTGTCAATTATTTCTTAATTAAAAAAAAGTGGGGGGGGGGGGCTCTACATTCAGAGTTCCAGCCCATACCTGTGCTTTGCTTCCTGTTGTGCTGCATCGCCAGGATCCTGAAAAAACAATGTTATCTTTTAGAAATTTCACAGAGAGGGAATAAAAAAAAGGAACTTGTTTCTGGTACCTAACAGGCTCCTGTAGTGGTAGAGATGGGCTTACAAAATATTTAAAAGCTGGCCCTCACAGAAGTAAAAAGGTAAGTTTCCACTCACTATAACGTTTTGATGAACTTCTAAAGTCTCAAGCTAATAGAATGTTTTAGAATACAAACAGGTATTAGGGCGAAAAGTCCCTCTTACGAAACCGTATTTTACAAGATAAGAATAATTTCTGGAAAAGAAAACGTGCCACGGTGTTGGGGACGCTGATGATCAAACAACGCTCCCCCTTCCAGGCTATCCGGCTCCATCCCTAACACTTCACTCCGGGTTTCCTCACAGCAGAGTCATTAGTTGGACTTTTCATCTACGGGGCTAGTGTTCATGCCTGGCTCTCCTCAGGACTGTCAACTCCGTCAGGGGATGTTCCCCGCTGTACCCTCAGCACCTGGCACAGGGAAGACTCCTCAGAAGATGTCTGTTGACCCCTCGGGTCGAACCAACTGTATTCTAAACAACATTCGGCTGGAACAGTAGTCAAGTAGGCTAGGTCCATTAGCTAAGGGCACCGAGGGACCGGAGAAGCTGAGCATTCTGCTCTGGACCCAAGACGGCCGGCCGGGTGAGACCGACCCCCGGCCGCCGACCGGCCCGCGCCCGACCAGCCCGGGGCAGTACGTGGTTCGCTGGCTGCCCGAGCCCCCACGCGACGGGCAGAGGGGCCGACAAGGCTCGGAGGCTACCAGAAGGCCGCCGCGGGCGGAGGCGGGGTCCTCGGCCCCGGGGCAGTGACGCCTGGAGCCTCCGCTGGGGGCCGCGCCCTCTACCTCGGGTGAGGGCGGCGCCCAGCAGGGGACGGGCTGGGCGGGTGTCGGGCTCGCTCACCCCGTGCTTCGCCTGCAGCTCGGCCAGCCTCTGCTTCCTCAGTGCCTCGAGCTCTTGCTCCGCCATGCTGCGGCCGTCCCGGGCGAGCAGCCGCGAACACGCTCCGACTCACTCCGAGGGAACGCCGGCAGTCCCTCTGCGCGCGCGCCGCCCTCCCAGTGCGCAGGCGCCCGCAGCGCCCAGGCATCACCAATCCAGCCCAGAGCCGCGCCGCCCGCCCCAGCCAGTGCCTGGGGAGAGGCCCGAATCCGCGATCGCAGGTGGTGGGACATAGTGCAGAACTGATGCGCCGACACTTCCAGAACTCGGTCCTTGCTGCCAGCTGCAAGCATGTCCTCAGCGGGCGTGGGCGCCGGCAGGGTTAAGATCCGGCTGTGTGTGGGAAAAGATAGTAACCTAGAAACAGGCTACCATCAACAACTATAACTGTAGGTAAAATTTGTTGAGCCTATAACGTGCTAGGCTCCTGTTATCTCCATTGGCGGATAAGGATCCGGGCGGTTAGATAGACTAAGTAGAATGATGGAAAATGTGCTGAAACTGGACGGCAGTGATGGTTGCACAATTTTGTTTTCCTCAGCCATCATCAGAGTTTTGTCTACTCCTTGGGTCTGACGAACTCGTTTTCTAGAAAACATTAAGCTAGCAGGCTAGATCCACGTGGGAATTTAGTTCCCCAACTAGGGATGGAACCCGTGCCCCTTGCAGTAGAAGCCCAAGTCTTTTGTTGTTGTTGTTGTTCATTAATTTTTATTAGTTGGAGGCTAATTACTTTACAATATTGTAGTGGTTTTTGCCATACATTGACATGAATCAGCCATGGATTTACATGTGTTCCCCATCCCGATCCCCCCTCCCACCTCCCTCCCCACCCCAACCCTCTGGGTCTTCCCAGTGCACCAGCCCTGAGCACTTGTCTCATGCATCCAACCTGGGCTGGTGATCTGTTTCACCCTAGATAATATACATGTTTCGATGCTGTTCTCTCAAAACATCCCACCCTCGCCTTCTCCCACAGAGTCCACAAGTCTTTTCTGTACATCTGTGTCTCTTTTTCTGTTTTGCATATAGGGTTATTGTTACCATCTTTCTAAATTCCATATATATGTGTTAGTATACTGTAATGGTCTTTATCTTTCTGGCTTACTTCACTCTGTATAATGGGCTCCAGTTTCATCCATCTCATTAGAACTGATTCAAATGAATTCTTTTTAATGGCTGAGTAATATTCCATGGTGTATATGTACCACAGCTTCCTCATCCATTCGTCTGCTGATAGGCATCTAGGTTGCTTCCATGTTCTGGCTATTATAAACAGTGCTGTGATGAACATTGGATGTGCATGTGTCTCTTTCAGATCTGATTTCCTCGGTGTGTATGCCCAGAAGTGGGGATGCTGGGTCATATGGCAGTTCTATTTCCAGTTTTTTAAGGAATCTCCACACTGTTCTCCATAGCAGCTGTACTAGTTTGCATTCCCACTAACAGTGTAAGAGGGTTCCCTTTTCTCCACACCCTCTCCAGCATTTATTGCTTGTAGACTTTTGGATAGCAGCCATCCTGACTGGCGTGTAATGGTTCCTCATTGTGGTTTTGATTTGCATTTCTCTGATAACGAGTGATGTTGAGCATCTTTTCATGTGTTTGTTAGCCATCTGTATGTCTTCTTTGGAGAAATGTCTGTTTAGTTCTTTGGCCCATTTTTTGATTGGGTCATTTATTTTTCTAGAATTGAGCTGCAGGAGTTGCTTGTATATTTTTGAGATTAATCCTTTGTCTGTTGAGAAGCCCGAGTCTTAATCACTGAACCCCCGATGAAGGCCCAAAATTCTTTTTTTTTTTTTCTTTTTTTTTTTTTTTTATTAGTTGGAGGCTAATTACTTTACATCATTGCAGTGGTTTTTGTCATACATTGAAATGAATTAGCCATGGATTTACATGTATTCCCCATCCCGGTCCCCCCTCCCACCTCCCTCTCCACCCGATCCCTCTGGGTCTTCCCAGTGCACCAGGCCGGAGCACTTGTCTCATGCACCCAACCTGGGCTGGTGATCTGTTTCACCCTAGATAATATACGTGTTTCGATGCTGTTCTCTTGAAACATCCCACCCTCACCTTCTCCCAGAGTCCACAAGTCTGTTCTATACATCGGAGTCTCTTTTTCTGTTTTGCGTATAGGGTTATCGTTACCATCTTTCTAAATTCCATATATATGTGTTAGTATACTGTAATGGTCTTTATCTTTCTGGCTTACTTCGCTCTGTATAATGGGCTCCAGTTTCATCCATCTCATTAGAACTGATTCAAATGAATTCTTTTTAATGGCTGAGTAATATTCCATGGTGTATATGTACCACAGCTTCCTCATCCATTCGTCTGCTGATAGGCATCTAGGTTGCTTCCATGTTCTGGCTATTATAAACAGTGCTGCGATGAACATTGGGGTGCACGTGTCTCTTTCAGATCTGATTTCCTCGGTGTGTATGCCCAGAAGTGGGATTGCTGGGTCATATGGCAGTTCTATTTCCAGCTTTTTAAGAAATCTCCACACTGTTTTCCATAGTGGCTGTACTAATTTGCATTCCCACCAACAGTGTAAGAGGGTTCCCTTTTCTCCACACCCTCTCCAGCATTTATTGCTTGTAGACTTTTGGATAGCAGCCATCCTGACTGGTGTGTAATGGTACCTCATTGTGGTTTTGATTTGCATTTCTCTGATAATGAGTGATGTTGAGCATCTTTTCATGTGTTTGTTAGCCATCTGTATGTCTTCCTTGGAGAAATGTCTGTTCAGTTCTTTGGCCCATTTTTTGATTGGGTCATTTATTTTTCTAGAATTGAGCTGCAGGAGTTGCTTGTATATTTTTGAGATTAATCCTTTGTCTGTTGAGAAGCCCGAGTCTTAATCACTGAACCCCCGATGAAGGCCCATAATTCTTAAATTTGTTCATAAATGTTAAATTGTACACTGAAAATGGATTGAGGGCGGGACTGGAGTGAACAGAGACTCGCTGGTCATCCTGCATGGAGAAGCCAAGTTAAAATAAACCGGGAGGCTGAAGTTGGGAATCAGACAGGTCTGGCTTCCCTGATAGCTCAGTTGGTAAAGAATCCGCCTTCAATGCAGGGAACCCCAGTTTGATTCCTGGGTCGGGTAGATCCCCTGGAGAAGGGATAGGCTACCCACTCCAGTATTCTTGGGCTTCCCTTGTGGCTCAGCTGGTAAAGAATCCTCCTGCAGTGTGGGAGACCTGGGTTCAATCCCTGGGTTGGGAAGATCCCCTGGAGAAGGGAAAGGCTACTCACTCCGGTATTCTGGCCTGGAGAATTCATGGACTGTATGGTCCATGGGGTTGCAAAGAGTCAGACACGACTGAATGACTTTCACTTTCACTTTCTTTCCTCAGAGGTTGGTGCAGGAGCTATGAAATGTGGTGTGAACTGTGGGGACACTCCCAACACACACAGAAACATGCTCACACACAAACACACACACATGGCACACTCAGGGCTGTCCTGGGGTGAATTCCTGGGCAGTAAGATTGTGTGCCTCGAGCCTGGAGACATTGGTTCCTGTTGGGGGGATTGTCAGCTCCCTAACACTGTGCCATGCTTGTTTTCTCAGTTGTGGCTAAATATAATACATCATTTACCATTCTAACCAATTTTAAATGTACAGTTCAGTAGTGTTAAATACATTGACCTTGTACAGTCTCTAGTATGCTTTTCATTTTGTAAAGCTGAAACTATGCCCTATAATTAACAATTCCTAATCCCCTCTTCCTCAAGACATTGAACCATTTTACCTTCTACAAATTCTACAAATTTGCCTGTGACAGGTGTAAGGTGAGTACAGAGAAAAACAGAGCGAGCAGGGCAGTCAGGCAAGAAAAGGAAATTTATTAAAGAGAAAAGAGAGGGTGACTGGCTCTTAAGGAGGACCAGCGTTCTTCCTTTCTGATGGAGTCCTTCTTATACCTGACCAATGAAGAAATCCTCTGAAGGGATGGTCACTTAGCTGCAGGTCTGTAATCTGGTAGTCTTGAAGCTTTGGGAAGATAGGCCCCAGTGAAATAACAGGATGCTATTTGGGCAATTTGGTCAGTCTCACAAATCACTGTGATTTATTCCTTGTTTGTGAGGTCGACATAATGAGCCATCTTATCGATGAGACCCTATGTGGGTCCTATCAACAGGTATCTCAATAAATGGAATCACACTTTTTGTCCTTTTGTGACTAGCTTCTTTCACTTGGCATAATGTGTTCAAGGTTCATCCATGTTGTAACCTGTGTCAGAATTTTCTTCCTTTTTGAGAGTGAATAATATTTCTCCCTCCCTCCCTTCCTTTTCTTGAATATACTTTCTAGTCCTTTTAGTATTTTGCTGGGGTTTTTTTCCCCAAGGAACTCAAAATTTATCAGTATTGATTACTTTTTAATCTATTTTTATCTATTTCTATCTACTTTTAATATTTCCACTGTTATTTTCTTTTCAGTTCCTTCAGATGAACATTCTATATGTTCATTTTTCTTTTCAGTTCCTTCAGATGAACATTCTATATGTTCATTTTTATTCTTTCTTATTTAATAATGAAAACATTTAAGCAGTTAATTTACTTGTGAGTACATATACACATATATAAAACTATATATATATACACACACAGTCTTATTTACATATCATAGTTATACATATCAGTAGTGTTATTTTTTCTCTTTCATAATGTCTTAAAATGGTTTCCTATTTTGTAAAACCATGGTCAAAATAATATGGTTTTAAAAAGTCACTTATTTATGAGGTGACTAGCTATTCCTGACACACTCCTACCCAACACATTCTTAGTTCCCCAAAGGTAAATCTAGCTGACTCTGTAGTTATTCTATCATTTATTCTTTTATTAACTATGTATTGAGATAAAAATAAAATCAGGTAGTGAGGACAGGGTGTGGTGTCAGGGAAGTGTTCATTGAGATGGTGACTTTTGAATAAGTACCTGAAGGAAGAGAGACAGAGTCACAAAGATATCATATGGAAGAGAATTCCAGGCAGAAGGAACAGAAATGC